CACGGCCGGTAAATCAACTACTGATGCCGGTGTAGCTCTCATTAAATATATATTTGATTCTTGGGAGAGGTCTCAGGATGCAGTCGGTGTATTTTGTGATCTTTCAAAAGCATTTGATTGCGTTGAACATGAAACACTTTTGCTCAAACTTGAACATTACGGTATTAGATATGAAGCACAAAGCATGATGAAATCCTATCTAAATAATAGAATGCAAGTTGTCGAAATAAATGGTGTAAAGTCTGAGGGAACTAGTATTAAAATGGGTGTTCCTCAGGGCTCTATTTTAGGTCCTTTCTTATTTTTAGTTTACATAAATGATCTTCCTTATATGGTAGAAAAGATAGCTGACATAGTTCTGTTTGCTGATGATACTTCATTAGTATTCAAAGTCAATCGACATATTGATGATTTGGACGAAGTAAACGGTGCTCTTTCTTATGTTTTAAAATGGTTTACGGCTAATAACATGTTACTAAATGCAAATAAAACTAAATGTATCAAATTTACTCTCCCCAATGTAAGGCCGGTAGATTCAAAAATCACGTTGGACAATAAACCTATTAATTTTGTGGATGATACTGTATTTCTAGGTATCACATTAGATTCCAAGTTGCAATGGGGCGCTCATATTACTAAATTAGCGAGTCGACTTAGTTCCGCCGCTTATGCGGTAAGAAGAATTAAACAATTAACAGACGTGGCAACGGCTAAACTTGTGTACTTTAGCTATTTCCATAGCATTATGTCGTATGGTATTTTGTTATGGGGCAAAGCAGCTGATATAAATACAATATTTATTTTACAAAAGAGGGCCATTCGCTCCATTTATAGCATGGGTTCCAGGGAGTCTTTGCGAGAGTGCTTTAAGGAATCAAATATCCTCACCGTTGCTTCTCAATATACTTATGAAAATATCATGTATGCCAGGAAGAATATAGACAGTTTCAAAAGAGTTAGTGATTGCACTAATAAAAGCTTACGTAACAATAACAAACTGATTTTACCTAAATGTCGTTTGGCTAAAGTTAGTAATTCGTTTTATGGCAATTGCGTAAGGTTTTACAATAAAATACCAGAGTCTGTTATAAATCTGCCAGAAAAAAGATTTAAATGTCAAATAAAACACTTCCTTTGCAAAAAAGCTTACTATAAAATTGAAGAATTCGTTAACGATAATAATGTTTTTGTAGAAAAATTTTAAATACATAGCACTGACAATATTATCTGATTACACTAATAATGAGTGCGTAGCGATTTCTATGTTGATTGTCGCATGCCTCTTACTTGTTACACTGTAATTATTTATATAAAAAAAAAACATCTATTAAAAAGAGCAACACACAAGTTTCTTGCTCATTCTTCTTGTGATGAATCTGCATTCCGAATGAGTGGTAGAATCAAAATATGACTATTCAAAAGTGCTTGTAATGAGTTTATTTGAATAAAGATTATTTCTATTTCTATTTCTATTTCTATTTCTATTTCATACAAATTGTGCCGTGCGAGGAATCGAACCCGCGACCATCGGTCGTAAAGGGGTGTGCTAGACCGCTAGACCACCGAGGTCGTCAATATAATAATATACATTTTTTTACAGAAAATGGACGCCCAGACAAAATACCTGAACTGCAAACTGAATCTTTCAAAAAACACCGACGTTTCCTGCATGGTTCCACGGCCTGTTCTGAAGGAGTGAGTCGTTTTTCTCTCTTCTAGGTTGTCTGTAGGAAATTGATTATATGTTAAAAGTTTTTAAATATTAAATTATTATATATTGAAATTTTAATTTAAATTTTTTTATATGTAATATCGTTTATATTACATATAAAAAATTGTTTATATGTTTTTATCATTACATATTGCGGTGAAACGCGCTCAAATTTACATATATAAAAAAATCTTTATATATAACAATTACGTCTCATGTTGTTTGTCCGCGATGGCGAAAAATTGAAATAAGAAACATATAATTCTAATTAAAAATGAATATATAATTAAATAAAATATTCATAAATTTTCTCTAATTAGAATTGAAGCTAGTATTCACCCTAAATTATTAATAGATGAAAAAGTTAATAGTTTGCGAAGGGAAGTTTGATTTAACCCTCCAATAGCTCCAATAATTGTATTTAAAATATGATGGAAACAAAATCAGAAATACACAATTCACATAGAACATTTTAGACGCTTATGAATATCAATTACTTTATCATCGGCCTGGCCTTGTAATTCCTCGTTAATTTTCTGCGCCTTCTCGAATATAGCCTGTGCGTCTCTGTCTCTCTCGGTATCAAGTTCGTATGTTGCCGTCGCATTCTCTCGTTGCTGTTGTACCGAAAGTGTTGTCCTTGATTCTTCAGCCTGGAAATAAATATTACTATTAAACTTAACAATAACATTGTAAATAAAGCGATATGCTATAATTAGTCACACCACCGAGCGCGTCGATGTTTTTGAGGTTTTATCTACACATATAACTAAAATTAGAGTGTCTGTTTGTAATATTGAAATAACCGTTTTTACTGCATGCATATGTGTATATATGCATAACACCAAAATAACAGTTATTACAATTATTGTCTCTCTGTTTGTTCCGGTTAATCTCTGAAATGGCTGGACCGATTTTGACAGGACTTTTATTGGCAGGTAGCTGATGTAATAAGGAGTAGCTTAGGCTACTTTTATTTTAGAAAAATAAAGTTATATTCCACGCGGACGAAATCGCGAGTAGGTATATAGATACATATGTTGGAAACTATGGATTTTCCATTTAATTGGTTTTTCGGGGCTTTCTGACTATTAGTAACAAACATCTCGCTAGGCGGGCCGCCCCCAAACAGTGTTGCCAGCTACATGCTTCACTAACCGGCTAGAAATTGAACAGAAACTTGCTAATTGTATATTGGCCTCGGTGGTTAGCGGTTTAGCACACCGCTTACCTTCCGATGGTCGCAGTTCGATTCCTCGTACGGACGAAATATTTGTATTCATGAGTATTGCTTGTATCGGTCTATATATATTATGTATGTATTTACAAATAAAAAATATATCTAAGTATTTATATCAGTTGTCTAATACCCATAACACAAGCTCTGCTAACCGTGGGACTAGATGGCGCTGTGTTAATTGATTGGGGTTTATTTCTTTATTTATTATTTGTTATTAATTTGATTTTTTGTATTACTACTCAACTCTGGACAATTCACACAGCACCACCTAGTCCCAAGTTAAGCAGAGCTTCTGTTTTTTGTTCTTATGGATTATATTCATTTGTACACAATAAGTGCTACAGTCTGTCTCCTTTGTCGGGGCTACTTGGAAGCCAAAGAAACCGCTCACTAATAATAATAATATATAATATCTAATCCTGGAGAGCTTGCAGTGTCCACACAACGAACACAAACCTTCGGAACGATGAGGTCGCTTCGTGAAGCCTGTGAAGACACCAGGACTTCTGCGTTCTTGGGAGGAGCTTGGCTGGCTACTCTAGTAGTCTTCTCTACAGGTACAACGGCCCAGATGAGAAGCTGATTGTGGGAATGGAGTCTACCTTATGCTCATCTTATCACTGGTGCCCCGCCAGCGTAAACAGTTAGCACCCGCCTGCGCTAACGGTTTACGCTGGCGGGGCACGTAATCCTGGAGAGCTTGCAGTGTCCACACAACGAACAGAAACCCTCGGAACGATGAGGTCGCTTCGTGAAGCCTGTGAAGACACCTTAGACTTTCTACACGCACAACGGCCCAGATGGGAAACTGATTGTGGAAATGGAGTCTAACTTACATTTTACATTTACATTTATGTCTTTTTTTAATGGTGATCAAATACAGACCATTGGGGGGAAGAGTATTAGTAATGTGAATTAATAATCCCCTTGCTAGCAATTTACCAAGTCAGGTCAGTCAGAAAGCTTGTTAAATTTCTGGTGAAATTATCACGATGGGCTATAGGACCTGGCCTTATGCTCATCTTATCATTAGTGCCCCGCCAGCGTAAACCGTTAGCACCCGCCTGCGCTAACGGTTTACACTGGCGGGGTACGTAATCCTCCAGGATTACGTACCCTGTTAATTATCGAGTAAAATCCATTAAAAAAAACCCATGTTTTTTTAATGGATTTTACTCGATAATGGTCGGAACTTGATCATCAATGTTTTTTGTTCATTTTTAATTATCAACATGGTAAATTAAGTTTAATTATATATATACATTTTATTTAATCTTTTTTTTTTCGTTTGCTTGTTTTTTATATTGTAACATTTTTGAATAGCACTGAATAAATATTTTTTCTTTCTTTCATAGAGAACGTCGTGGTCAGGTTTTCACACTGAATGTTTGTGCTCTCATACATACTAATTGTAGCGGAATTAAAGCAAAATAATATAGAACCGATAAGTAGTAAATCTGTCTTTTTAAAAAAAAAACCGGAGAAATTATTGCACTTTGTGAGGTTGGAAGGTTAATTATTACCGGAGTTTCCAAGGCAAACCTAGATATCTATAACCTAGGTTATACGGTTTTACCACTAAACTGATATAACAATCAGACCCGGCCACGCGTAACTGTGGCTAACGTTCTTGAGTAAAATAATATTGCGACTACAAATTGAGATGTAAGCTATCCTATCTTTCAAGTTGGATCAAAGTGTATTCGGTTCAGTAGTTTCAGTAATTTTTATATATAAAGATCTGACTTTCTTTATAGAAAAAAAAATAGAATATACTTGACTGATTAAAAAAAAATTATACAACGGATAAATTGCTAAATCGGCCTGTATAATTGCTAATTTAGCAAAATCCCCCAGCGTGAACATCACGCTATCCTCAATGGTAACAATATATGAAGACTCAAATGACTCACGCATGAAAGGACTGGCGTGATCGTATATTTTTTCTGTAGTTAAACAAATTCATGGCTCTCAGACGGGGATGGTCTCACTCTACAGTCTACACGGACCAAAATAACCGCTAACAACCGATAGTATATAGCCTGCACGATGAAATCTATAGCTTCATTCCTTAATTTCATCTTGGAAACAACACATCCAGTTTATAAAGTTTTTGCAACCCGTGCAGTTCAAACGTTTCAATTTTTAATTTTGATTAAATAAAACCTTTGAGTTATTGTGAAACTTTTATATCGGTAAGTTTATTTTGTATTTAATTAATTAAATATAATAATTATATTTATTTAGTTTTGTTTCTTTATACATCAAAATAAGGTAGCCATGATGTAATTTTATATATTCTGCTGAAGTAACTTGTATGTACAAGTTATAAATTGTGAAGATACTTGTGGGTTTTTTCAATTGTATATTTAAATACAATATGATTTTTTTTCTTCTCACATGGTACATGATAGATATTATTAATAAAAAGAAAATTAGAACCGACCGAAGAAAAACAGTTTATTTCGGAATAATAAAGTTAAATTCCACGCGGAATAGAAGTCGCGGTAACAGCAAGTTTATTTCTATAATTAAATTAAATAACATTGCAATGAATTAAATATAATAATTATATATATTTAGTTTTGTTTCTTTATACATCAAAATATATTACCATTGTATACGATGTAATATCATATTCTGCTGAAATAACAAATGTACACAAGTTATAAATTGTGAAAACACTTATGTTTTCTTTACTTAGGTTTTCATAATTGTATATTTAAATACAATATAATTTTTTTTACACGCTTCTCACATGGTACATGATAGATGTTATTAATAAAAAGAAAATTAGACAACCGATTATATATACATTTAAATAAAATTGGAGTTTCTGTTATGTTGTATGTACCGTATGTAATATTTATATTCATAAAGAAAGAAAGAAAGAAAAATATTTTATTCAGTGCAATGTAAAAAATGCAATATAAAGAACAAACGAAAAAAAATAACTTCACAATAAATAAAAATAATCGGAAACTTACTATTGATCATCTTATCTATAAAATTCTCGTGTCACAATGTTACCATACTCCTCTGAAACGGCTTGACCGATTTTAATGAAATTTTATATGCATATTTAGTAGGTCTGAGAATCGGCTATTATCAATTTTTCATACCCCTCAGTGATAAGGGTTGTCCACCTCTAACATTATTTCTTTATTGTGTCATTAAAAATACATACAACCCAAAATTTTTATTCTTCTATCACCAAGCCCTATTTTTTTTATAGCGTTATTAATTTATATGGCAAAACAACGTTTGCCGGGACAGCTAGTTGTCATATAGATTTGTTTCTTCTTTATATCTCCAAATAAGGCAGCATGCGATGTACATACTGACTTTAAATAACTTGTATATACAAGTTACAAATTGTGAACACACTTCTGCTCTCCGATCGATCAGATGGCGCTATGTAAATAGTCCTGAAAAAAAAAGTATAATCGAAATATCGGAAGATGTTTATGGGTCACAGTTACCTCGATACATCAATGTAACTCTTGCAATTAATTAATGATAGTACGACACGAGAATTTTATATATAAGATATTTTAAAAGTACAAGAATGTTTCTCTATTTTACTCAGTATGATATTAAGATACAGATAAATAATTTTTTTAATTATTAAAATGTAATTATTTTGGTTATTTAATTAATTCTTTTTACCAACCAGTGGTCTAGTACTCATAACACAAACTCTTCTATGCATAGGGACTAGGGAATAGTGGAAGAAAGTTAAAAATAATAATCTCAGGACAATTCACACAGTGCCATCTAGACCGAATTTATGCTAGCTAAAACTTGTGTTACGGCTACTAGATTACTGATACAAATACATAGATATATTTTTTGCAAATACATACATATTATACATAGAAAACACCCAGACCGATACAAACAATCATACTCATGAATACAAATTGTGCCGTGCGAGGAATCGAACCCGCGACCATCGGTCGTAAAGGGGTGTGCTAGACCGCTAGACCACCGAGGTCGTCAATATAATAATATACATTTTTTACAGAAAATGGACGCCCAGACAAAATACCTGAACTGCAAACTGAATCTTTCAAAAAACACCGACGTTTCCTGCATGGTTCCACGGCCTGTTCTGAAGGAGTGAGTCGTTCTTGTCTCTTCTAGGTTGTCTGTAGGAAATTGATTATATGTTAAAAGTTTTTAAATATTAAATTATTATATATTGAAATTTTAATTTAAAATTTTTTATATGTAATATCGTTTATATTACATATAAAAAATTGTTTATATGTTTTTATCATTACATATTGCGGTGAAACGCGCTCAAATTTACATACATATATAAAAAAATCTTTATATATAACAATTACGTCTCCTGTTGTTTGTCCGCGATGGACTCCTAAACTACTGAACCGATTGCAAATTTGATTTGCACATTGTGTGCAATTTGATCCAACTTGAAAGATAGGATAGCTTACATCTCAATTTATAGTCGCAATATTATTTTATTCAAGAACCTTAGCTACAGCAACGCGTGGCTGGATCTAGTATATATATAAAAAATCTTATATTATCTTTGTATTCACACGTTTCGACTTGTAAATGTAAACTTACATGAATTATTTAAAAGAGCAACACACAAGTTTCTTGCTCGTTCTTCTTGTGATGAGACAGCTTTCCGAACGAGTGGTAGATAAAAAACAAATTGTTATGACTATTCAAAAGTGCTTAAATTAAGTTTATTTGAATAAATGATTTTCTATTCTATTCTATTCTTAATCTTAATAATATTATAAACGTGAAAGTTTGTGAGTATGTATGTATGTTTGTTACTCTTTCACGCAAATACTACTGAACGGATTTTGATGAAACTTTAAAGTAATATAGTTTATACGTCAGAATAACATTGGGGCTATGATTTAAAAGGATACTATGCAACTTGGGCGTAGTATAATAATAAATGTTGCAGACGAAGTTGCGCGAGTCAGCTATATCTATACATATAAATAAAATTGGAGTGTCTGTTTGTAATATTGAAGTAACCGTTTTTTACTACATGCATATGAATATAAATACGGTACATACACCAAAATAACACTTTTTACAATATTTGTCTGTCTGTTTGTTCCGGCTAATCTCTTAAATGCCTGGACCGATTTTGACCGGACTTTTTTTGACAGGTCGCTGATGTAATAAGGAGTAACTTAGGATACTTTTATTTTAGAAAACAAAGTTAAATTCCATAATAATTAATATATTAAATAATTAATAATAATAATTACAAAATAAGTTTCTAAGTATTTATATCAGTTGTCTAGTACCCATAACACAAGTTCTGCTTAGCTTGGGAGTAGATGGCGCTGTGTGAATTATCCTGGAATAATTATTTTACATCACTTTACGTTTTTAAATTTCCATTTAAAATCTCGAAAATAATCGGTATCATTTATTATTATTATTTCTTCTTTTTTTTATTTAAAAGAAGGTATGGTAAGGTAAGGTATTGGCTAAGAGTAGGTAAGGCTTCTAGCTTTAAAAATGATGATACTTCCATAGAGCGTTTCATCTCCTCTTTCAACCCCTTAAAACACTTTCTTCGCATTAAAACGTAGCCTATATCCTTTCTCAGGGTCTAGACTATCTGTATACCAAATTTTATTCTAATCGGTGCAGTAGTTTTGGCCTGAAAGCGAGACAGACAGACAGAGTTACTTTCGCATTTATAATATTAGTCAGGAAGTAAGGATGTAACGAAGAGAATATGTCAAAAACATATGTATTTATTTATTAATGGAAAACCAAGATCAGCTAGACATATATATTTACGAAAAAGTTAGTAATTCATTTTATGGTAATTGCGTAAGATTCTATAATAAACTGCCAGAATCTACTCTAAATCTGACAGAGAGGCAATTCAAACTTTATATTAAACAAATGTTATGTAAAGAAGCCTATTATAGGATAGATGAATTTATAGATGATAGCAATATATAGCAAGTATAAGTTTATTTGCGGACAACGTTATAATTTATTTTTCATACTGCTTTCTTGATATATGATAGCGTAGCGGCTTTTGTATTGATTGCCGCATGCATCCTCATGTAAAGTGCGAATACTGTAACTACCATATAGTAATTTTTGTAGCTGTGACGTGGTCGAGTGGAATGAGTAGTCATGCTCACTAAAATGTCCAGACATGTGGCGGCGTGGTGGGCCGGGTTTTTTTTTTTTTGAGGGTTGATAATGGAATGGTGCACCCGCCTGCGCTAACGTTTTACGCTGGCGGGGCACCAGTGGAGGATGATAAGATGAACATGAGGTGAGGTCAGTTAGCCCATCGTGCAAATTCACCAGGAATTTAACATGATGGTTTCCAGGGGGAACCGCGTGGAGGTCGACCTGACATGGTACATTGCTAGCAATGGGGTTATCAATCCACATTACTAACAATCCCCTTCCCCCCTGGTGGGCCGGGTCATTAGGCTCCCTAAAATATGGTCGAACGCAGTGATGGCTGGCTCATCCGTCATACCCGTGAACGAATGCTGCTTGTAGGGACTGGTCTGCTCTTATCACTATGACTGATTTAATCTTATTGTGTTTTTATATTTGAGCCTAAATAAATTAAACTGGCTGGTAGTTTGTATTCACACGTTTCGACTTGTAAAATGTGAACTTACAAGGATTGTTTAAAAGAGCAACACACAAGTTTCTTGCTTATTCTTCTTGTGATGAGACAGCTTTCCGAATAAGCGGTAGATTTAAAAAAATGTTGACTATTCAAAAGTGCTTAAATTAAGTTTATTTGAATAAATGATTTTCTATTCTATTCCAAAAAAATAATGTATATTACAGTTATCTACTACCCGTAATACAAGCTTTAGCTAGCTTAACTTAGGACTAGATGGCGCTGTGTGAATTGTCCTGAGATTATTATTATTATTAAAATTATTGTTATAAAATACCAGACAGTATGATTATAAAATTCAAAAGTTTTTATAAAAACCTATCAACAAACAAAACATGTCTACAATTATTAATTTTCGTTTCAGGAAAATCGAGAATCTGAACACTTTGATCGAAGAACTCCAAAAACTGTTTGAACACGATGGCGTATATGCGTCGGAAGTTGAAGCCCTGATGTTGCAATACGAATCCAACAAAACCGATTGGGAACGATATGCATTTTTCAACAGCAAAGGACTGTGAGTGCATATTTTACAAATTTTTTTATGGATGAAAATGGAAAGGTAACATCTACTGGCATGCCAAATTTCAGCCCGATCCGTCTAGTGTTTTGGGCTGTGCGTTGTTAGATCTCTATGTCAGTCAATCACCTTTGAGTTATATATATTTAGATAACAGAATGGTGCACCCGCCTGCGCTTACGGTTACGCTGGCGGGTCACCAGTGGAGGATGATAAGATGAGCATGAAGTGTTAGATATACGAACTCTATGTACTAGTAAAAGTATGTATTATAATAAAATAACAACTATAAAACATTAATTTAACTATGTCTCTAACACAATTCATTTTAGCAGTTAAAATACAACCAGCACATCCTGTGCTCAAAGACCAAATGCCGCGGCCTACAAAAACCCTCCCTTTTATACAGAGAAGATATGAGTGGGGGTTATATGCAACTAGTTTAACGATACCGAGTAATAATGAAACTACATTCTTTTAATATAAAATATCAGATTTTTCGACAATATCGATGTGAACCCTAACAGAAGTCAGACCAGTTAGCCCTTCTTAACAAATTCACTTAGAATTTATCACGATAGTTTCCGTGGGGCACCGCGTGGCGGTCAACCTGACATTGTACTTTGCTAGCAATGAGGTCAACGAATGAATTACTAACTTTCGACAAACGGCACTTAAAGTAAGATTATTAATTCCAGTCAGTATTTCAAAAGAGCCACACACAAGTGTCTAGCTCATTCTTCTTGTGATGAGCCTGTATTCCGAATGAGCGGTATCTAAAAACGACTTGACCGATTTTGATGATATTTTATCTGTATATTCGGTAGGTCTGAGAACTTAATTTTTTTATTATGTCAGCCTCCCTAATTATACCTATCTACCAAACCCTATTTCCTTAAAGATAATACATACAATATAATCATATAAATAACAATTTATCAATACTTATGTATATAAAATATGATGACCGTATATAAATATATAATAATAATAAAAATATGAAATAAAAAAACATATACATAAGATAAACTATTGGAAGCCAAAATACGTATTTTCGCGAAGCTGAAGAGTTTGTTTGTTTGTACTGGTTCGGATTGATTTTTTTTTGTATTGGATAGTCCATTTGGCGAGGAAGGCTTTGAGCTATATAACATTACGCTACGACTAATAGGAGCGGACCTACAATGAAAAACTTTTTGCAATATATTATATTATACATGAAACGCAGACGCAGTTGCGCAGGTCAGCTAGGTGTTAAAAAAAGTGTCTGCTTCTCTGGTACACGTTTCTTTCTTCATTTGAAGAAATATCCAGCTCCTAATGAGCGGAGAGTCCCATAGGTCTTTACCGAACATATGTCCCCTCTACACGTTATTGTTGATCTGTGCAACGTATGCAAAATACACTTTGTGTGCTCCTGCATTGGTTTTTCCGTGTAACATCTGTGGAGACATTGAGGTTCTTCCCACTGTTAGTAACTAGAGTTATTTGTAACTAAGAATTGCGTTATTAATTTTATGGTAATTATAAGGTTTTACAAAAAACTACCGAGTCTATTCTAAATCTGCCTGAAAAAAGATTTAAATGTTGTATAAAACACTTTATCTGTAAAAATGCTTATTATAAAATTGAACAGTTTACAAACGACAATAATGTTTTTGTAGAAGAAACTTAAAATTAGCGCTGACAATAATGACGACCTCGGTGGTCCAGCGGTCTACTACACCGCTTTACGACCGATGGTCGCGGGTTCGATTCCTCGCACGGCACAAACATTTGTATTCATGAGTATTATTGTTTGTATCGGTCTGGGTGTTTTCTATATATATCATGTATGTATTTACAAAAAAAAATCTATGTATTTGTATCAGTTATCTAGTACCCATAACACAAGCATTAGCTAGCTTAACTTGGGTCTAGATGGCGCTGTGTGAATTGTCAAAAAATAAAATAATGTCTGATCGCACTAAGATAAGTGTGTAGTTTTTATATTGATTATTACATGCCTCTTACTTGTTATTGTGTAATTATTTATTTAAAAGAGAAGATAAAATATAGATATATAAAATATACTTTATTTGCAACATACAGTAAAGAAGATGCACAAATGATATATCAAAGGACACATGTATAATTTACAATAAGACGGCTTTATTGCTAAAAGAAATATTTTCAAAAAGAGAGACTCAAAGGGCGACTAATTTCCGAATGAGCGGTAGATTAACAAATGTGTGATGACTTCAGAATATTCTATTCTATTCTATTTATGTTTTTCTGATTCATTATCTTAATATAAATACTACTCTTATTATATGTATTCTATTTATTATTTTATCTTCTTCCACTGGTGCTCCGCCAGCGTAAACCGTTAGTAACCGATTAAAAAAAAACTTTGTTTCATTTACCTTGCAGCAGGTATGTTAAGGAGCTCCGTATCCGTAACCGAAACTATCCGATATAAAAAAATATCCGTAACCGTAACCGAATCCGAAATAAGAGTTTCGGATAATATCGGATAGGGGCGGAGCCTAATTGTAACAATTTTATTAGCAATTTGTATTTCACTTTTGAAATTCCTTAAAAGATTAATATACTTAACCGAAAACCGAAACTGACGGATACTCCGAAATAATGTCATATCTGCATCCGTATCCGTATCCGGTATAATAATAGTTCCTATATCCGAAATTTCATATCCATAACAGATGCTTGTAGCTACACCAGAAACTTCTTCCACTGGTGCCCCGCCAGCGTAAACCGTTAGCGCAGACGGGTGCACCATTCCATCATCAACAATTAAAAAAAAACTTTGTTCCATTTACCTTGCAGCTACACTAGGAACCTAGTTGACGAAGGGAACGGAAAATACAATCTGATCCTGTTATGTTGGAATCCAAATCGCGAGTCACCTCCTCACGATCATTCCGACTCGCACTGCTTCATGAAGATTCTCGATGGTAGCCTCAAGGAAGTCAGGTGGGTATTCATTATTATAATTATTTATTAGCTGTACTCGCTATTTCATCCGCGTGGAATTTAACTTTATTTTTCTAAAATAAAAGTAGACTAAGTTACTCCCTATTACATCAGCTACCTGCCAATAAAAGTCCTGTCAAAATCGGTCCAGCCATTTCAGAGATTAACCGGAACAAACAGAGAGACAAAAATTGTAAATTTGGTGTATGTGCCGTATATACACATATGCATGTAGTAAAAACGGTTATTTCAATATTACAAACAGACACTCTAATTTTAGTAATAAAAATAATTTAATTGAAGAGTGATTTTGAAGATATTGCCAAAAAGACAGAACGCGAGAGCTTGTTATCTGTACTTATAATATTATAAAAAATACATTCATAAACGGCTAAACTGTCCTATATGAATAAATGTTTTTTATTTAATTTGATTTGTATCTTTTTTTTTAGCTTTTTGTTAATTAGTTCAAAATCAGTGTTGTTATATTTCACTATTGTCAATATCGGTCAAATATATAATCGGTACTTTGCATTCACACACTTAAACTTAAATTGTAAAGTAAGAATAAAATTATTTAAAACAGCAACACGCAAGTTTCTTGCTCGTTCTTCTTGTGATGAGACAGCTTTCCGAATGAGCGGTAGATTAAAAGAATGTGATGACTATTCAAAAGTGCTTCAATGTAAGTTTATTTGAATAATGATTTTCTATTCTATTCTATTTTATTTTAATTCTAAATAATACAATTGATTGATGCTATTTCGAAATATATCACAATTATATTACTAGCCGTTATTTGTCATTTGGCCTAAATGTCGTTTGGCTGAAGTTAGTAATTCGTTTTATGGCAATTGCGTAAGGTTTTACAATAAAATACCAGAGTGTTATAAATCTGCCAGAAAAAAACATTTAAATGTCAAATAAAACAGTTCCTTTGCAAAAAAGCTTACTATAAAATTGAAGAATTCGTTAACGATAATAATGTTTTTATAGAAAAACTTTAAATCTATAGCACTGACAATATTATCTGATTACATTAATAATGAGTGCGTAGCGACTTCTATGTTGATTATCGCATGCCTCTTACTTGTTATACTGTAATTATTTGTATAAAAAAAAACATCTATTAAAAAGAGCAACACACAAGTTTCTTGCTCATTCTTCTCGTGATGAATCTGCATTCCAAATGAGTGGTAGAATCAAAATATGACTATTCAAAAGTGCTTGTAATGAGTTTATTTGAATAAAGATTATTTCTATTTCTATTTCTATTTCAAGTATCCATGAACATACGCGTTTTTTAAAGAATGTGGTATTGAGACTTTTAAAATTGTCTGGTAATTTATTATAAATACGGATCACCATACAATATACATTATTTGTATAAATGGTCAATTTCTGTGTAGGATTTTGAATTTTATAAATATTAGTGCACCTTTTGCTCGTGTCGTGCTTTCAGAAAAGCAGGATACAGAGCAATGGGAGCAGTTACTTATTACTTGTCAAATTATAATAAACTTTTTAACACTTGTTAAAAAGTTTATTATAATTTGACATATCATTATAGTCTCTAATATATATAATACTAGCTGTCCCGGCAAAAGTTTTTGCCATATAAATTAATAACGCTATAAAAAAATAGGGGTTGATGATAGAAGGGTGAAAATTTAGGATTGTATGTATTTTTGTTTGTTGTATCATAAAAACATAGAAACTAAAAATTGTCTAAAAAATAAAAAATAAATTTAGGGGTGGATTACCCCTAACATTTAGGAGGATGAAAAATAGATGTTGGCCGATTCTCAGACCTACTCAATACGCTCACAAAATTTCATGAGAATCAGTCAAGCCGTTTCGGAGGAGTATGGGAACGAAAACTGTGACACGAGAATTTTGTATATAAGATTTATTTTGATTTAATTTCTATCGTAATGTTTATATTTTATCATAGATACGAACAGCCAAAATCAGAAGACAACAATTCTTCAAATATTAACCAATGTGGAAATGGAAAAGATAATGAAATAAATGCATGCTGCAAAATTTCCGCCGAAAATAAAGTTAAGCCCAACATTTGCGACCGCATCGTTGGAGATGGCGCGAAAAAGGAACAAAATGGAGAAGTGGGCGCTATGGAAGGCAATATGATTGTAAAAAGTACTAAAGTATTGAAAGTTAACGACGTCCATTACATTAATGGTAAGTACACGTAGAGACGTGCTAACTCGTAATAAACATGACTCGAGTTAACTCGAGTTAATATTTAGGTAACTCGAGTTGACTCGAGTTAAGGGGGCTTGACTCGAGTTGGTCGAATTTTAGGGGGCGATTAGAAATGGCACCTTCTTCCAAAGTCGCGGAAGGACTTATGGAATGGATAATCATTTTATTGATAACATAATCGGACGAATATGCGAAAAAAAATGATAACAACCTCAAATCAATATTGAAATATTTGTGACGAGTGAAAATTGATCATGATCGCAAAATTTCATGTCATTGTCAGTTCGATGACAAAGTTATGCTCTCGATCTTTCACTTGATTCATTAATTTACCAATTGAATTCTTCCAACTCACGTTGGCAAAATTCAACTCGAGTTAACACATCTCTAAGTATCCCAGATGGGGTCGATAGAAGTATTGTTGATTAAAAGCATTTATGACGACAGTCTAGTGCACCGCTTTACGACCGATGGTCGCGGGTTCGATTCCTCGCACGGCACAAACATTTGTATTCATGAGTATGATTGTTTGTATCGGCCTGGGTGTTTTCTATGTATAATATGTATGTATTTAAAAAAAAAAAACAAAAAATATCTATGTATATGTATCAGTTATCTAGTACCCATAACACAAGCTTTATCTAGCGTAACTTGGGTCTAGATGGCGCTGTGTGAATTGTCCTGAGATTTATTAATTATTATTATTGTTATTGTTAATTGCCGTGGAATACGTAACACTAATATGCCTGGACAAAAAACACTACGACTTCTTTTATCTTTGAGACGGCCTCGGTGGTCTAACGGTTAAGCAAACCACTTTACTTCTGACGGTTGCAGTTCGATTCCACGCACGATGCAAACATTTGTATTCTTGAATATGGTTGTTTGTATCAAGACACCCAGACGGGTGTTTTGTATGTATATTATGTATAGATACAAAAAAAAATAACTAAGTATTTATATCATTTGTATAGTACCCATAACAAGCTCTGCTTACCGTAGCACTAGATGGCGCTATGTTAATTGTCTAGGTTTATTTATTTAATGATTATATCCCTGGACAATTAAGGAAAGAAGGTAGGAATGAAGATAATATCTTAAGGAAGGTGATATTCATATAATATTTGTATTAAATAAAATTGGGGTGTCTGTTTGTAAGTTTGAAATAACCGTTTTTTACTACATGCATATTATTATGAATATAAATACGATACACACACACACCAAAATATTTTTTTTTACAATTTTTGTCTGTCTATCTGTCTGTCAGTCTAGGTTTCGGCTAATCTCTGAAATGGCTGTATCTATTGTGACGGGACTTTTTTTGGCAGGTAGCTGATGTAATAAGGAGTAACTTAGGAGACTTTTATTTTAGAAAAATAAACTTAAATTCCACGCGGACGAAGTCGCGGGAACAGCTAGTAATATATGAAATTTGCTTCTCTGATTCCAGATGACCAGGGTGTACACAAAATGCAGAACACTGAAAATAAAGGAGCCGTGTCACTCCATCTGTACTGTCCACCGTTCGGCACTTGTAAAGTCTTCGACAAAAATGGAAAAGCTTCGGTTGCTGAGGTCACATATTACTCTAAATATGGAGTCAAGGTACCTGAACTTTATATGTGATAAATATCTAACGTTTCTTTTTTATGAATGTCAACTTTAAAAATACCGTCTTTGCTTGGTGGTTTGCTACCCTGATCTTACACCTTAAAGATCGTAAGATCAAATCTAAAATGACTATATAAAAGGACAATTTTATGTAATGTCTCGGTGGTCTGTTTTTTTTATGGATGATAATGGAACGTTGCACCCGCCTGCGCTAACAGTTTACGCTGGCGGGGCACAGTGGGAACTTTGACTCATTTTCATCTCATAAATCTATAACTTCTGTATTAATAAAGATATGTACATGATTTTTTTTCCTGATAATCTTAAATATATATACTTTTAAATAATGTATGCTTTGTGAGTAAAAAAATATTTCTAATTGTTATAAATAATGTAGGAATACAAGAAATATAGAATTTGTAGACTTACATTTATGTCCTAAGAAGTTTATACAGAAATAAGTAAAAGTATCTACGTAAAAAACAAAAATTCTTATAAAGATGGCTTACAAGTCACTCAAGAGCTCCTTTGCTTCATCAAAAAGTGCTAAATATTTTTAATTTGAAGGTTTTCTTAAACTTGTTATGTATGGGTCAGAGGTATATAAAAATGCGTGTAGAACATCTTTGTTAGAGGCTACCCTCGAACATTGTCTTGCATGATGAAGCTTGAACTGTTTATAGTCTTTGTTCCGTAACTCTTGAGCATCTTCTGAAACTTGCCCGAGAGGCAAGACAGAAAAGTGACGTGTCACACGTTCACATTTCATTTCATAACATAACAGTTTTATTAATTCCTCATATATACCAGTGATATTTAATGTACAATGATAATTTTGGAAAAATCTTCTGGCTGTATTGCCGTCATTAGTGTTGCTATCAAACAACTCCTCATATTTTTATACTGTGCCTTGTTCAGATCCAATTTTATGAACATGCTAAGAGCTTAATGTTTTGAATATGCTGCTATATGTGCCGGTTCATTAATAAGATTACTCATTAAGATTGCTCATTTCATTCTAGTTTTCTGCCGGCAATGCTCGTAAAATATCAACGATGAAACCCTTAAACCCTGTACATATTATGAGTTCAGTATGAAGTCCACAGGTATCAAGCAATCCCTTGTTTTTCCGTTTCTTTGTCCGAACTGTCTTCGTACGTTTTAGAAGGTCTTCCTCTTTTCTCTGTCGAAGTAGGAGGTGTAGGTTCGCATGTAGTTTTTTCTAGATTTACAGTGAAAATACCATCCTATCAATTGCTATTTTATTTAAAAACTGTTCTTTCTTTCGACCACATTTCGTATAGCGTTGACGAAACTGAGTTATGAAGGACTTCTAAATACTTGCGATAATTTTTGCTATATTGGCTATCTGAAGATTCGGTAAAATTATTTCGTATATAGTTTGGATAGAATCAACATAATTTGTATAACTTTAAATCAATAAGAGACTTAAGTCGCCTCTGGTACACGAGAATTCACTCATTGGGGCGAGATGAGTAATTAACAATTGTTTAGTAATGACAAATGCTTATGAAGAACTGTAATATTTCATATGCAAATACATACACTATTTTATACTTGATAATGATCATATACGTGTGCAAAATTACTTGATAAAAAATATTTATCATTATGCGGTATAGAATAGGTCTGTATGGGAATGGGAACTATATACTGTGTGAAATAGTTGATAAAAGTAAGGCAATAGATAAAATATAAAGTAATAATTGAGCAAAAAGTATTTTTTTGAGTATTCAGACAGAGAATCTCAAATAAAGAAGAAAATCTTAATATACGTACTTAGAAAAAACAAATCTCACCATGATATTATACTCGATTTAAATATTTTACGCAGTGAAACTGCAAAAAAAAATGTTATGCCATCAAATTAAATTATATTTCCTAATAAATAAAACCAAATTTAGAACTTCGGCAAGCTTCGGCAACTGTCAAATCTCCAAGTGAAAGTCTGAGAAAAGAAAATAGTACATATAACGATATATGGATTTTTAGTTAAATAATATTCGACTAAACTAAATATATTTTTATATTATAGTAAAGTACACATTCCAAGGATTCTAAAATGGTATCACACTATATGACTTGATATTGTTTTGATACTATAAACTTATACTAAACAAATTTAAGTTACAAAATTATTTTTGTATTTTTTTCATTCCTTGACTTTAGAGGCTCTATTCTATGAAGTATGAATAGTCAGAGATTTGAATCATATTTATAATGATAGAGTAACTCTTTGGCTACAAGTTGAGGTATTATACATGCACATCCACGGAGTTTTAGAAAAAGTATTTATGAGATGGCTTTCTTAGGCGAGTTCCCACTGTGCGGGGCACCAGTAGAGGATGATAAGACAAGCATGAGGTCAGGTCAGTTAGCACATCGTGATAAATTCACCAAGAATTGATCACGATGGTTTCCAGGGGGAACCGCGTGGAGGTCAACCTGACATGGTATATTGCTAGCAACGGGGACATAAGTCAACTTTACTAACAATCCCCTTCCAATCTTATGTCTGGGAATATCGCACCAAAATTAACAAATGACAATGTCAAATTTACGGTTAGGTTGTGTACTAAGCTAAAAAAGCTACTATCCCATGGGAACTCTTTAATTTTCCCTGATTTAATGTATCTAAGATGTTGACCAGGAATATGAGTTACCTCCATGCAATATTTCATTTAAATCGGTCTGCCAGTTCCGAGATTATTAGCCTCCAAACAGACAAAGAACAGTAAATGTAAAAAAAAACTAAATAGGTTCTATTTCACATCTCTCTGACTCGGTTTTTGGCGTATTTTTGTTTCTATGTTCCAAAAATGAACCTCTACTAGATGTAGATATAGATATTATAAATCATCGAGTCGATTACATTAAATCAACACATTTCTGTTTTATTTGTATTTTATTGTTTATTTTCTAATTTATTAGAAAATAAACAGCTTACAATAAAATACAATAATCAATTATCCTCAATTTCTAATAAATAATTATAATAAGATGAAAATATACCAATTTGGAAGGGTCGTATTGGTTTTTACCATTTGCCGTGGAGACGCTGAGACTAAGAGCCCGGAAACCAAATTTTTTTTATCATATATATCAGCGCGGCTGATCGATGTTACTAGGTGACCCGACAGCTGGTAGCTACTTTGCCCAAAGGCTAAGTATGGTCATTCAAAGAGGCAACGCTGCCAGTATCTTGGGTACGCTGCCTCGATGTGCCGCGTTGGATTACAATGATTGTTTTTTGTGATTGTTTGTATTACTGTATTATGTAAATTTTCTAAAATATTTATTCTGATACATTATCCTCTATTTCAGAATAATAATTGAGCACAACAATGATATTGCATTCGCCACATCTTCTGGTGCAAACTCATGATAATTTGCGGCGAATACAATAACAACATCCTGTAGAAGATTTCCCCAAACACAAAATTATAGGAACAACACTTTTGCTAATGATGAGTGGATTGCTTGACCGGGAAATATCAGGCCTAATCAGACAAGTCCAGGTTCCCGACGCTAATTCACTTCCCTTCGATAGCATTCTTAATATCTTCGATTTTCAACCTCTTTTAAAAAGGCTGGCCTTATACCACCCGTAATACCAAAGGTATTGCAGACCTTTGGTATTACGTGTCGTTCGTTTCCTATGCTATAAAAAAAATATACCTACCTCTTCTTAAAGGGCCGGTCTTATCTGCAATACCCCTGCTTTTACCATATCCACCTATGGACCATAATGTGACCTTGGCAAATTCGATTGCTTTGCTAAAAAAATAATAAAAAAATAATTATATAGGCAAAGAGCGGAGTTTCTTGTCAGTTCTTCTCAGCTCAAATTGCATTCCGAACTGACGGTAGATTTGACTTATTATAAGTGTCTATAATACACCTACATGAATAAAGATATTTATAATTGAGATGATTAAAAAAAATGTATTTATATATAATATATATGTTAGAAGTATAGAAATTTACATATTTTCATGCCAGTTCTTCTTGGTTGAAATTAATTTCAGAACTAGAATATAAGAGAGAGAAAAAAATGTAAAAAAAAGAAAAAAAAAAAGAAGAATTTTGTATTCATCAATAAATATATTTATATATATGATTTTCATTATTAATTTCCCGTTAATCATTTCGAGATTTTGTATGTGTAGCGTATGGTAAATGGTACTGAAAACGGTTCACTTGATGGTAAGTGGTAACCGTCGCCTATATACATGAACAGCATTACGGACAGCAACTGTATCCTGCTACTAAATGAAGTTCATTCATTCATTCATAATTTAAGAGCTGTGCTCTTGTTGGTGGAGCTCCCGCCACCTTCTACCATCTTCTATCAGTCTTTTTAGCTGATACGACATGAGTCAAACTTTTTTCTTTAACTTGCTTGATATAGCTGTGTCTTGGTCTTCCCCTTCTCTTTCCATCTATTTTTCCTTCTATAATGTTATTAATTAGTTCGTCGCGTAAATGAAGAATGTAAATGAATGACCTATAAATGAAGTAGGAAGCAGAAATTCACAGTACGGTTTTCTAGAAACTTTTTGCCTCGCACAACCACATTGTGGAATCACCTTCCAACAATGGTATTTCCGAACCGATACGATATTGAAACCTTCAAGAAAAAAGCTTATTCCTTTTTAAAAGGCCGACAACGTACTTGCAATTCCCCTGGTGTTGCGGGTGCTCATGGGCGGCGGTAATCACTTACCATCAGGTGAGCCGCATGCTCGTTTGTCCCCTGTGTTATAAAAAAAAATATTATACTAAGAAAAGGGACTCTTAAATTTTGAAGACAATGTCCAGATATGTGGCGGTGTGGTGGACCGGGTCATTGGGTTCCCTAAAATATGGTCGAGCGCAGTGATGGCTGGGTTGTGAACGAGTGCTGCTTGTAGGGACTGGTCTGCTCTAATCACTATGACCGTTTTAATCCTATTGTGTATTTAATATCTGATAAATTAGTCCCCCTAATAAATTAGTGCTAGTTGGTAGTTTGTATTCGCACGTCCATTTCGAAGGAAATGTAAATTTACAATAATTATTTAAAAGAGCAACACGCAAGATTCTCGCTCGTTCTTCTTGTGATGAGATAACTTTCCGGATGAGCGGTAGATTAAAAAACTGATATCTATTCAAAAACGCTTCGCACGGATGCACATGTAATACATATAAACCACTCTATCTATTACTAAAAACTGCATTAAAATCCATTATAGTGGTTCAAAAGATATAAGCGGATGGACAGCAGAAGTGATTTCATTTTATACTATCTAAAGATTATTTATTTATTTATTTGGTTGCAGAGTACAGTGTTACAAGTAGGTCTTTCAACATGAATATTCGTCGAAGGTTTGCAATTCAGCTTGCATACAAGCATGCAAAAAGTGTATACATTACTAGCTGTCCCGGCAAACGTTGTTTTGCCATATAAATTATTAACGCTATAAAAAAATAGGGTTTGGTGATAGAAGGTCGAAAATTTAGGGTTGTATTTATTTTTTAATGACACATAATAAAAAAAATTGTTATGACTATTCAAAAGTGCTTAAATTAAGTTTATTTGAATAAATGATTTTCTATTCTATTCTATTCTAAAAAAAATTACCCAAAATTAAAAAAAAATGTTAGGGGTGGACAACCCTTATCACTTAGGGGTATGAAAAATAGATAGTAACCGATTCTGAGACCTACTGAATATGCATATAAAATTTCATAAAAATCGGTCAAGTCGTTTCAGAGATTAGCTGGAACAAACAGACCGACAGACAGACAGACAAAAATTGTAAAAAATGTTATTTTGGTGTATGTACCGTATTTATATTCATATGCATGAACAGACACTCCAATTTTATTTATATGTATAGATTTCAATAATCATTTAATTGTAACTATTTTTTTTTATTTACTAAAGATACTACCAATATATCAGTAAAAGCTACTATCGTATAACTCGTGAGATGTTGTTATTTTTGTTACTGGTTTTTCCATCTTCGTTATTACTAGGGAAAGAACAGAATTGGATTACATAATAGACATCAGACAGAGTGGAAACTTTACAGCCAGTGCCCAAAATAGTCAGTCATAACAATAGCATAGAATCATGATAAGTATATTCAGTCTTTGCGAGAGTGCTTTAAGGAATCAAATATCCTCACCGTTGCTTCTCAATATATTTATGAAAATATCATGTATGCCAGGAAGAATATAGACAGTTTCAAAAGAGTTAGTGATTGCACTAATAAAACAAAGCTTACGTAACAATAACAAACTGATTTTACCTAAATGTCGTTTGGCTAAAGTTAGTCATTCGTTTTATGGCAATTGCGTAAGGTTTTACAATAAAATACCAGAGTCTGTTATAAATCTGCCAGAAAAAAGATTTAAATGTCAAATAAAACACTTCCTTTGCAAAAAAGCTTACTATAAAATTGAAGAATTCGTTAACGATAATAATGCTTTTGTAGAAAAATTTCAAATACATAGCACTGACAATATTATCTGATTACACTAATAATGAGTGCGTAGCGATTTCTATGTTGATTGTCGCATGCCTCTTACTTGTTACACTGTAATTATTTATATAAAAAAAAAAAACATCTATTAAAAAGAGCAACACACAAGTTTCTTGCTCATTCTTCTTGTGATGAATCTGCATTCCGAATGAGTGGTAGAATCAAAATATGACTATTCAAAAGTGCTTGTAATGAGTTTATTTGAATAAAGATTATTTCTATTTCTATTTCTATTTCATCTATATATATATATAAATAAAATTGGTGTGCCTGTTTGTAATATTGAAATAACCGGTTTTTACTACATGCATATGAATGTGTATTGGCAGATAGCTGATGTAATAAGGAGTAACTTAGGCTACTTTGATTTTAGAAAAATAAGGTATAATTCCACGCGGACGAAGTCGCGGGAACAGCTAGTAAACAATAAAAAAAATCTAAACAGGCGTATTCTGATACTGACGGCCTCGGTGGTCTAGCGGTTTGGAGCAGCGCCGTACTTCCGAGGGTCACTGGTTCGATTCCTCGTACTGTACAATTTGTATTCATGAGTATGATTGTTTGTATCGGTCTGGGAGTTTGTGTGTGTTTACGAAAAAAAAAACTATGTATTTGTATCAGTTGTCTAGTACCCTTAACACAAGCTTTAGCTAGCTTAACTTGGGTCTAGATGGCGCTGTGTGAATTGTCCTGAGATTATTATTATCTGATATGATATTTAATTTAAACTTACTTCATCATTACATAGTATAAAACAAAGTCGCTGTCGCTGTCTGTCCCTATATATGATTAAATCTTTAAAACTACGCAACGGATTTTGAAGCGGTTTTTTTAATAGATAGAGTGATTCAAGAGGAATGTTTATATGTATAATATATGTACAGCCGTGCGAAGCTAGTCTAGTTATATTATAAATGCAAAAGTAATGTCGCTATACAAGCTAACGTCACACAGGTCTCATTGAGTAATGGTACTTGGGGTGATCTATGATCTGATCTCCTTATCTATACATATAAATAAAATTGGAGTGACTGTTTTTTCTTTATTTTTATTTTTATTAACCACAGACACAAAGTACGTGTTCTTATTAAGTTAATTTTAACATTTTTGTTTGACTTAAATTGATTTATTTAAGTTAATCTATTTTGGTCAGGCCCCATATAACAATTCTATGGATGTCAATATAATATAAAATAATATAATAATACAAATTTACCAAAATTAAGTACAAATATGTCAAGTCGGAATTGAATAACTAATCAAATTTAACAATAAAATAATAAAATAGTCATATAATAAATTAAATTACAATTAAAAATAAATATTAAATTAATTTACAATTATAATTAAAATAAATACTAAATTATATTGTTTTCAGGTGTGAGTGAATATATCCTCAGTTTCAGCTCTGTCACTACCAACTTCCATCCTATCTATACTTATAATTTTTGAAGTAGTATTTTCGTTTGTTTTTAATGCCTCCAGAACTGTCATGAGGTTTTGAATGCTCTTCCATTCTCATTATTTAATATTATAATCATTTTGTTCTGGGTGCGTGCCACTTTGCATTGTATGGAGTGACTGTTTGTAATATTGAAATAACCGTTTTTACTACATACATATGAATATAAATACGGTACATACACCAAACTATTTTTTTTTACAATTTTTGTCTGTCTGTCTGTTTGTTCCGGCTAATCTCTGAAATGGTTGGACCGATTTTGACGGGACTTTTATTGGCAGGTAGTTTATGTAATAAAGAGTAACTTAGGCTGCTATTATTTTAGAAAAATAAAGTTAAATTCCACGCGGACAAATTCCAGCTAGTTAATATTATAAAAGCGTATATTTGTGAGTATGGGAAAATTAAATAAAAATTTACGCTAAAATTACTGAATGCGAAATTAATGTCGCTATACTAGTTAACGTCACCCAGGTCGCAATGAGTAATGGTAGGTACTTGGGGTGAGCTATGATCTGATCTCCTTACTAATATAATAAACGTGAAAGTTTGTGAGTATGCGAAAATTAAGTAAAAATTTACGTTAAAATTACTCAATGGATTTTAATGAAACTTTACAATAATCCTTACAGGACTAGGAAGGATTATTGTAAAGTTTCATTATAATCCATTGAGACTTGTATTATAAATGTGAAAGTAACTCTGTCTGTCTGTCTCGCTTTCACGCCAAAACTACTGAACCGATTTAAATGAAATTTGGTACACAGATAGTCTAGACTCATAGAAACGACGTAACCTACTTTTTGATGCGAAAAGTCTTGCAACGTGTTTAAAGAAAGATGAAAAGTTGTATAGAAGTATCGTCATTTTAAATCTAAAGTGAACTTACTTTTAGGCTGTTAATAAAATATAAGTAAATATTATTATTATTACATTTAGAGTTTGTAAAAAGTTACCCTTAAGGGGGTAAAATAAAATAGGGGATGAAAGTTTGAGAAAGTATGAAAATTCGTCATATCTGAAACTAGATTCATGAAACTTTTTCTTTACCTTTTTTGGATTTATTAGATTACTAGATGTTCCCGCGACTTTGTCTGCGTGGAATTTAACTTCATTTTTCTAAAATAAAAGTAGCCTATGTTACTCTTTATTATATCAGCAACCACCAAAAAAAGTCCCGTCAAAATCGGTCCAGCCATTTCAGAGATTAGCCGGAACAAACAGACATACAGACAGACAAAAACGTTTATTTCAAAATCACAAACAGATATGTTTATTTCTATTTTATTTATGTGTCTCATTTTTATTTATATGTATAGATTAAATGATTTTTCTTCATTAGATCTAAGTGAATCATCACGCGGACGAATTGCGGGCACAGATAGTATTGAATAAAAATATTAAATTATTTAAAAAAAGCCGCAAATAACAACTAGTTGAGTTACCATAAGGTTGGCAACACTGAAGCATTGTCTATTCCCCCAGCGAGCCAACGGTCGCTCTCGTTTGGGACGAAAATAAATTGAACTGTCAATATATAGGGAAAGCGCGGGAAAAGTTGAACACTTGATGTTTATCTACGCACCGAGACGCTCGTTTTAAAAGTAAAAAAACCGCGTATAGTCTGTGCAGTGAAAAGTTGTTTGTTCTGTGTATTTGTACGTGATTTATTGAAAGTTATTTTACGCCATCAGGTATGTTTGTTAGTGAAACTATGAAGTAATTTTAACTATTTGCTGTTATCTTTAAAGAATATCTAACTAATTAGATATATTAATTTATTAGTTCAATAACTTGGTACATTTTCTATATACTTCTTATATTTATGTTTAAATTAAAAAAGGTAGTAAAGTTACATTTTTAAATGTTAATTTTTAAGCGTAATTTTGTTTGTAAAGGAAGTGAAAGTTAAGTTAAATGTAATGAGAGTTTAACTAAGAAATGAGAACAGTTACTACTACTAGGTAATTGTAAATACTAGCTTATACTAGCGACTTTGTCTGGAATAGTTTTGTAGTGGATTATAACGGAATGGTGCACCCGCCTGCGCTAATGGTATACGCTGGCGGGGCACAAATTGAGGATGATAAGATGAGGGTGCAATCAGGTTACATACTTAGCAGATCTATCAGTGAACAATATTTTCTTTAAAATGTGTGCAGTAGTTTCTGCGTAAAAGGGTAACAAATATTGTATCTTACAATATTAGTAGCATTGGTTAATTTTTATTAAAGAAATTAAATAAAAGGAAAATGGTAAAAACCTGTATTAAATAAAAAAAACTAAATTTTGGTGACAGTACTTGAGTTGCCCGTTAAATAAATATATCAGTTATTACATTAATAAATTAAAAATAAATTATATTAAAAAAAAACGCATTTCTTAGATGTTATTAAATAAAAATGTATTACTACTTTAGAAATAGGGTGCATGCACCTGTTAGCAGTCTATGGATAACACTGATTATTTCAATTTTACTATAGGATAAATATAGATAATATAATATACATTCATTATACAACACACAAGAAGAAATTATAGAAATTAATGAGTGTTTTTTTTTATTCAACATGAAAAAATTATAAAATATATAGTTTTTTTTATATGTGGAACCACAGAATTAGATATTTAGAATAGAATAGAATAGAAATTAATTTATTCAATTAAATTAAATTTAAGCACTTTTGAATAGTCATAACATTTTTTTTTAATCCACCGCTCATTCGGAAAGCATTACTATCACAAGAAGAATGAGCAAGAAACTTGTGTGTTGCTCTTTTAAATAATCCTTGTAAGTTCACATTTACAAGTCGAAACGTGTGAATACAGACTACCAACCAGCACTAATTTATTAGGGTCAAATACAAAAACACATTATTTTTTCTATCTGAACTATGTAATATTATGTTATCTGTGATCTGAACCAATTTTGATGATTCATTTTGGAACCTCAGAACTTTTTTCTATTTAAACCAATTTTGATGATCCATTTTTTATTTCATATATGTGTGTTTTGTAAGTCTATGTCTGTCACAATTATCATCAAATCAAATCAAAAATAGAACATTTTAGTGGCTTATGTACAGATTGGATTGAGAAGAACTGTCAAGAGACTCAACTGATTTTTTTCTTCAAACAATCCCTCGTATGCACACACCTTTATACGCAAGTATTTAACCAGAACTGGCCGTAAATAGCAACATACCAATCTATTAATTAACTAGATACCTATTACTTAACTGATCTACCTATTGGAATCTAGACTAGGCATATACTCTCTCGTTTTATGCAATAAAAATTATAGAGATAGATTATTATAAACATATTTGGTAGGCTTACGGCCCGCCTGATGGTAAACGAAACCATTGCCAATACACATGAACAGCACTATAGATGTCACTTCAGCATGTGAGAGAGTGTGTGAGAGATTTATCACACCCGTGATACCACTCCTGTGTTGCCATTCTAGAGACAGACATGTCATCCCGTGCACATCACAACTGGACGTAAGATCCCAGGCAGCTGGCAATTATTTGATTTTCTATTATTTTTAAGAATTGTTCCGATTAGTTTGTAATAATTGGGTTGACATGTTTGAAAACAAAAACCCCAAAATAGATTTAGATTATGTTGTAGGTGGGTTAACATTCATTATTGTATTACTTACCTACTTATTTAGAATAAAGCAGTCATCGTCAAAACATATTGTTTCATTGACACAGCAGATTAAAAAAAAACCGGAACATAAAGTTAAAAAAAAATCAAATTACTTAGGAATATATACAGGTTAAAACATAAAAAAATCACAAATAAAGTAACAGATATAACTTTACGATAAAAAAAAATAATTTACAAATGAATTTTGCGTGATAGCAAGACAGACAGACTTACTTTCGCATTTATAATACGAGTTTTAGTAGTAAACTAATATTATAAAGCTGCAGAGTTTGTTTGTTTGAACGCGCTAATCTCAGGAACTACTGGTTTAAATTGAAAAATTATTTTCGTGTTGGATAGCTCATTTGTCGAGGAAGGCTTTAAGATATATAACTGGCATAGGTGAGACTGATGCGTCTACCTCGAGAAGAATGGCATTTTTTTTTATAATACGATGATGGTAAAAGAAGCATACGGCCCATCTGATGGTAAATGGTTACCTTGGTATCTCAGGCATCTCGAGACACCAAGGGTGTTTTTTTTTACTACGGTGGTGGCAATCAAGCATACAGCCCATCTGATAGTAAATGGTTACCGTAGCCTATGGACGCCTGAAACACCAGGGGTATCACTTGCGCGTTGCCGACCCTTAAGAAACCTTAATATACCCTTCTTGAAAAACCCCATGCTGTAGTCTCGTGAGAAAACCTCGGCAGGAAGTTCATTCCACACTCTAAGTGTACTCGGGAGGAAGCTCCTCTAAAACCGCACTGTTCGGTGTCATGTCATATAGAGCATCAAGATCAAAAAGTAGTGAGTTCAAATCTGTGATTAATTGATATCCAATGATTAGAATAATAGTCTTCTAAATATATATAACTCAAAGGAGATACCTTTGACTTTGACTTTGAAAGGTGACTGACATAGTGATCTATCGACGCACAGCCCAAACCACTGGACGGATCGGGCTGAAATTTGGCATCCAGGTAGATGTTATGACGTAGGCATCCACTAAGGAAGGATTTTGATTAATTCTACTCCCAAGGGGATAAAATAGGAGATGACAGTTTGTATGAAACTTCGTCATTTTTAAACCGATCGGGCTGAGACTTTGCATGCATAAAGCTACTATGACCTAGGCATCCCCATAAAAGGATTTTGATAAATTCCACCCCTAAGGGTATAAATTAATGCGAGCAAAGCCGCGGGCATAAGCTAGTAATAATATAAATGCGAAAATAACTCTGTCTGTCAGTCTCGCTTTCACGTCAAAACTACTGAACTGATTGAAATGAAATTCGGTACACAGATGGTCTAGACCCTGAGAAAGATCATAGGATACGTTTTAAAGCGAAAATAGGGTTGTAAAGGGTTGAAATTGGGGATGAAAGATTTTATGGAAGAATCGTCATTTTTGAAGCTAGAAGATTGAAACTTTAATGCGAAAAAAGGGTTCTTGGTGGGTTGAAAGGGGAAATGAAAGGTTGTAAGTATTGTATTGTTGTGTTATTGTTGGAAGTATTGTCATTTTTAAAGCGAGAAAGTTGAAATATATTTTTAGGCTGCTGATTCAATGTAAATAAATAATATTTAGAAGTTTGTAATAATGTTACTATTTTTGGGGGGTAAAATTAAATAGGAAATGAAAGTGTGTACGCAAATACGTCATTTTTTAAGCTAGAACGATGTAACTTTTTTCTTTGGATTTTTCGGATTACATTATTGAATATATTTTCTTTATTTGGTCACAAACTAGTATATGTATATGTGTATATATTATACACTTCGAGCTCTTTAATATATACATTTACAAATCATAATACGTATAATGTTTTGGTTACACCATTAACGTCTGTCTGTACAATTATTTACAATGGAAGCTTTTATTGTGAACGCAAAGGTCAAAAACATATGATAAACTCGGTGAATAATCAACAGTATGTAATTTAGTCATATGATTAAGATTCGCGGTCCATTTATTGTTTATATGCTAAATAATCATTAATAAAGAACCAGAAAAATCGGTACTCTATGAGTTTAATAGCGTAATCTTCTTTGATAAAACTTCTTATAACCATCCAGAAAGAATCAAGATCTGTTGTCTATGACTTAAATAGTCTATTCCCTATGCCTCGAACTATTTTAAATCAATAATAAGGGATCAAAATTATATGTTCTCTATGACATTAATAGTCTATTCTTTATGCCTCGAACAACTTTCAACCATCAATAAGGTATCAGTATAGTAGTTATCTGTGGTATCAGTAATCTTTTCTCTATGAGTTTAATAGTGTAATCTTCTTTGATAAAACTTCTTTTAACCATCAAGAAAGAATCGAGAACATCTATTCTCTATGACTTTAATAGTGTAATCTTCTTTGATAAAACTTCTTTGAACCATCAACAAAGCATCAAGAACATCTGTTCTCTATGACTTTAATAGTGTAATCTTCTTTGATAAAACTTCTTTTAACCATCAACAAAGCATCAAGAACATCTGTTCTCTATGGCTTTAATAGTGTAATCTTCTTTGATAAAACTTCATTTAACCATCAACAAAGCATCAAGAACATCTGTTCTCTATGACTTTAATAGTGTATTCTTCTTTGATAAAACTTCTTTTAACCATCAACAAAGCATCAAGAACATCTGTTCTCTATGGCTTTAATAGTGTAATCTTCTTTGATAAAACTTCTTTTAACCATCAACAAAGCATCAAGAACATCTGTTCTCTATGACTTTAATAGTGTATTCTTCTTTGATAAAACTTCTTTTAACCATCAACAAAGCATCAAGAACATCTGTTCTCTATGACTTTAATAGTGTAATCTTCTTTGATAAAACTTCTTTTAACCATCAACAAAGCATCAAGAACATCTGTTCTCTATGGCTTTAATAGTGTAATCTTCTTTGATAAAACTTCTTTTAACCATCAACAAAGCATCAAGAACATCTGTTCTCTATGACTTTAATAGTGTATTCTTCTTTGATAAAACTTCTTTTAACCATCAACAAAGCATCAAGAACATCTGTTCTCTATGACTTTAATAGTGTAATCTTCTTTGATAAAACTTCTTTTAACCATCAACAAAGAATCGAGAACATCTATTCTCTATGACTTTAATAGTCTATTCTTTATACCTCGAACTAGTTTCTATCGTCAACCTTAATAGTGTAACCTTCTTTGCTCGAATATTTGGATCATCCATAAGGAATCACGAACATCTGTTCTTTATGCCTTGAGCAGTCTATTTTTCTTTGCTCGAACTACTTTCAATCTTCAACAAGGAATCATAAAAATTGGTTCTTTATGCCTTTAAGTTAGCCCATCGTGACAAATTCACCAGGAATTGGTCACGATGGTTTTAAGAAAGAACCGCGTGGAGGTCAACCTGACATAGACATTATTACCCTTCCACAATATACCACAATACACAGAAAGGGGTTCTGTGTATATTGTGAATGTATTTAAAAAATATATATTTATATCAGTTGTCTAATACCCATAACACAAGCTCCGCTTACCATGGGACTAGATGGCGCTGTGTTAATTGTTAAGGTTATTTTTTTATTTGTAAACGACCTCCGTGGTCTAGCGGTCTAGCACACCGCTTTACGTCCGATGGTCGCGGGTTCGATTCCTCGCACGGCACAAACATTTTGTATTCATGAGTATGATTGTTTGTATCCGTCTGGATGTTTTCTATGAACATTATGTATGTATTTATAAAAAAAATTATCTATGTATTTGTATCAGTTATCTAGTACCTGTAACACAAGCTTTAGCTAGCTTAACTTGGGTCTAGATGGCGTTGTGTGAATTGTCCTGAGATTATAATTATTATTATACAAATATACTGTAATGATTATTATTCCAGATGGGGTGGTAGTCAGAGGTACTGTCCACTGTCTATGTTGTGGTGAACGCAACACTTGACATGTCCACATTTCCCTCGATATATTTAATGATAGCGCTGTGTGAATTGTCCTGAGATTATTATTATTATTTTTTATATTTCCAAAAGAAATCTCATCTCCCCTCTTAAGGAGAGGAGATGGCAACTTACCCCCGGCAGATGCACAGTCGGCCGCGGTTCAGGGCCCCAGGGAGAGAAACCGGCGTACAATGCGGGCAGAATCTAAGAGCACCGCTTTCTGCATCTTTCCCGGGAGTGAGCCGCCGCGGAATCACAACCATCTGAGATGTTGCTCCAGACTGGTTGGGATAAGACCGTTCACCGATATAACGATTGGAATTATTATTATTATTATTATTATACAAATATACTGTAATGATTATTATCCCAGATGGGGTGATAGTCAGAGGTACTGTCCACTGTCTATGTTGTTGTGAACGCAATACTTCACATGTCCACATTTCCCTCGATATATTTAATGATGGCGTTGCGAATTGTCCTGATCTTATTATATATGAGATTATATTTATTTGTTTCAGAAAATGGATAACTTGGATATCGAATCAGTTAATTGCAAAATCAGATTGTCTGAGTATACCGACACAGGGAAACTGTGCGCTCAGAGACCAGTGGATATAAAAGAGTAAGTTATTTATACTTTTTCTACTGACGCTCCCTGGCTTCGCACTGATGCATTACAAATCTTTGCGTTCTATACTATTACACGCATGTATTATACATATAAACCTTCCTCTTGAATCACTCTATATATTATTGAAAACTGTAATGTAACTTAAAATCCGTTGCGTACTTCATGACATAGTAGAAAACAAAGTCACTGTCGCTATCTGTTCGTCCTTGTATGCTTAAATCTTTAAAACTACGAAACGGATTAGGACGCGATTTTTTAAAAGAAGTGACTCTACATGTAAACCTGGCCGAAGCCGGGACCAGTAGCTAGTTAAAAGATATAAGCGTACAGACAACAGCGACGACTTTATTACTAAGTAAGGAATATTTAGACAAATCTGGAGGGTAGGGAAGGAAGGGAGAAAATATTAATATGTACCAAAAATCTTGATGTTCATAAGCGACTACAATGATCTGCAGGATTTTTGATTTGATATCTGTTTTATGACACAAAATAACAGAAAATTTTAATTTATAAATTCAAAGAATATTATTTTTATAATCTACCAGAAGACTTTAAAAATGTCAGCCACCAAGCAGTAACAATCATAAGCCTGATCAATTCATACAACGCCCTCTAGTTCCAAGCTAAGTAGAGCTTGTGTTATGTGTACTAGACTAACTGACCTGACCTCATGCTCATCTTATCCTCCACTGGTGCCCCGTTAGCGTAAACCGTTAACGCTGGCGGGTGCACCATTCTAAGATCATCTATTGGGGGTAAGAAAATTGTTAGTAATGTGGATTAAAAAACTCATAGCTATCAATGTAACACATCGGGTTGACCTCCACGCGGTTCCCCCTGGAAACCATCGTCATAAATTCCTGGTGAATTTGTCATGATGGGCTAACTGACCGGACTTGCTCATGCTATCAGCCTCCACTGGTGCCCCGTCAGCGTAAACCGTTAGCGCAGCGGGTCCACCATTCTGTTATCTAAATATATATAACTCAAAGGGGACTGACTGACATAGTGATCTATCAACGCACAGCCCAAACCACTGGACGGATCGGGCTGAAATTTGGCATGCAAGTAGATGTTATAACGTAGGCATCCGCTAAGATAGGATTTTGGTTAATTCTACCCCCAAAGGGATAAAAGAGGGGATGAAATTTTGTATGAAACTTTGTCAATTTTAAACCGATCAGGCTGAGACTTTGCTGAGATAAAGCTATTGTGACGTAGGCATCCCCTAAGAAAGGATATTGATAAATTCCACCCTTAAGGGGATAAAAAACGCGAGTGAAACCTCGGGCTAAAGCTAATCATCTATAAACAAAATCCACTTTCAGAGAGATTCCAGACTTGGAGACTCTAATTGATGAATTGTACAAGATATTCTCTTACGATCACGTAAATGTTGATGATGTTCAAGCTTTGATGTCAAGATACAAGTCCGATAGGAAACATTGGAAGAAGTACGCCAAGTTCGATCGTCTCCGGTGAGTTTTTATTTATTTATTTAATTTATTTAAAACTTTATTAACCAATAAGTTTATTGGTGAGTTATTACAAATAAAAATAGACTATATTCCAGTAAATTATTTTTATTATTGTACCAAATGAACTATTTTCTTTCTTCTTTCTAAATTTATTATAAACATGTTTGTTAAATTTTGAAAGAAAGATATATAAAATACTAGCTACTCACCCCGACTTCGCGCGGGTGTACATGTATTATACACATACATATAAACCTTCCTCTTGAATCACTCTATTTATTAAAAAATCCGCTTCAAAGTCCGTTGCGTAGTTTTAAAGATTTAAGCATACATATTAACGGACAGACAGCGACAGCGACTTTGTTTTATACTATGTATCAGTGCTTTTTAGTTATTGACAACATAAACAAAAACGATAAAAAAATGTATAATATAATTAAAGATAAACAAACATAAACAGTGTGTACATACATATATATAGGCTCTGAAATGGCTATGCTCTCCATTATGGCACAAGTCGTTGCTTTTCAGTGGCACCAGTACGAAAAGAGAGAGTGAGAGAGAGATAAACAGAAAGAGAGATATTTTTTTATCAATAACCCTGTAATAATATTTACTCTACAATTCACATAGCGCCATCTAGTCCCTAGCTAACCAGTGTGTGTATTATGGGTACTAGATATGGGATATAGCCACCTCATCATCTGCTTCTTCCTTATCCCATTTATTTGTGGTCGTCGTAATATGTTTTTCGCTTCCATTCATCCCTGTTCGCAGTCATCTCGTTATTTACTCCCTTTCTTTCCATATCATCTTTCACACAGTCCATCCATCTCTTTTTCTGCCTTCTAACCATCCACATTCATCATTCCTACACACTTATCTAGATACATCATAATAATGTCTAGTAAGACAAATCCAATATTGTGTACTAATTTTTGAAGGTTTCAATATCATGTCGCTTGAGAAATACCATTCCTGGAGAGTTATGTTTCGGAAAGAAATTTATACAAAACTAGCTGTCCCGGCAAACGTTAGGGGTGGACTACTCCTAACATTTAGGGGGATGAAAAATAGATGTTGGCCGATTCTCAGACCTACTCAATACGCTCACAAAATTTCATGAGAATCGGTCAAGCCGTTTCGGAGGAGTATGGGAACGAAAACTGTGACACCAGAATTTTATATATAAGATAAGTTAATAAGTTCTTTGTCTTAAAAAGTGTAAATGCATTCAGAAGGTAGATACATACATATAGCAGATGTACAATATATTCTGCAATATTTCTAGTGTTCTACATGCCTGTATGGGAAGTTTAATAGATTTTATACCTATGTGTACAATTTCATACAAGAATGGCATTCATAATGAATAAATACTTTTTATTGGATTTGAAACAAAAGTTATGGGACACAGATACCTAGAAATAATAATTACATGTAATAATGTCTAGTAGGACAAATCCAATATTGTGTACTAAGCACTGCTGTGTCTAAACTGTGTCACTCCACCTAACATTTTTCTATTGTCATTTAGGCTGGATTTCACCAATCGTAGTATAAACACGTTCAAGGAAACGGAGTTCAGCGTGAACTTGAAAAAAAGAACGACGTTGATCTCGTTTTACTTTAAATGGAATTCACCAGCGTTATACAGATCACGTTTACCAAAATGAAGTTTAGATTTTCATTCGTTCTCAGTGTTACACGCTAATTAAATAAAATACTTCTAAGAACTATTTGTAATTCAATCATGTGATAATTAGGATAAGTTTATTAATTTTTAATTTAATAAGTACCATCGACTACAAAATATATAACGACAACCTTTACCTATTAACTAGTAAAAAAATATTTTATTGAGGATATTTTTTTACACTACTGGCAATTTTCTTTTTATTCTCGATATTGTATTGTCAAAAATTTGATTGATGACTGTTTGACAACTGACAGCTGCTTTAAATACGTTTAAAGAGTTAGAAGAGAGAGTAGAGAGAAGAGAAGAGTAGTAGAAAATCAGACGTTCAGAATTTATAAACGTGTTCAGCGAAATTTGTAGTGGTGAAATGCAAAATGAAGCTTTGAACACGTTTAAACGTTCAGTTTGAACTAAACGTGATCAGTTTCTTTGGTGAAATCCGACCTTAGTATGTAAGATCAATATTTCTATGTACATATTGTCAGTCTATTATCATATATAATATACATCGTCTCAACCAACAACATAGTATCTATCACCCGCATAGGTCTAGCCGTATAGCACGCCGCATTAAATCAGATGGTCGCGATTTCGATACCTCGGATAGTACAAACATTTGTATTCATGAGTATGATTGTTTGTATCTGTCTGGGTGTTTTCTACGTATATTTTGTATGTATTTACATGCGCCGACCCCAAATAATGGGATAAAGGCAAGGCAATGACGATGATTTTGTATGTATTTAAAGAAAAAATGTGATAATAGGATAAAGGCAAGGCAATGATCATGATTTTGTATGTATTTAAAGAAAAAATGTGTATAAGTATTTATATCAGTTGTCTAGTACCTATAATACAAGCTTAACGTAGCTTTTGCTTAACGTAGGTCTAGATGGCGCTGTGTGAATTGTCCTGGATTATTATTATCAATATTATAAGGTAAGACAGTTGAAAATATGCAATTCCACGACGTAGTAGCACAGGTAATTAGGACCTATAATAATTCCACGTGCAATAATTTGAATAAAGGTAAACTATTCAGAAATTATCGTTGTTTATTTTCCGCAAAGAAAAGAATATATTCTCTATGATATATCATAGCACCAGGGGCTGACCGTGAATTTGTGGGGCCCCGGACTAAATCTACTTAGGGGTAAACCTTTTTTTTTTTTAACGTGTGGAAAATCTTCAAAAGACCGTCACCCCGCCGGAGGGAGGGCGGGGCGGTGAGTGAGATTTGTACTCACCAAAAACCACACGGTGTACCTACGAGCGCCTATGCCGGAGCCAGGGGATTCGCAAGTGCATTTCTATCCCAGCTCCGACGGCGACGGCCCGCCCTGTAGATGTTGTAGGGCAGGCCCCATCTCGCTATGTGGTTAGGGCGACCTACTTCGCCCTACTCCATTGTGGAGGCGTGTGGGTACACGCGCACACCTCCGGGGCCTTTGGATTGGGGTACTGCCTACTACCTACACCGACCAAAAACAAGCGACCAGAAATTCCCTGTTCCTTTCTATAGACGCGGACTTGCAGGTTTATTGATCTTAGGGTTTGCCAACTCTATGATAGGTTTTTTAACATTCTAGATATTTTTTTATTTTCTAAACATCGTTTCAGTGGGGACTGGGGCCCTTTGTATACGCTGGGCCCTGGGCTGCAGCCCAAAAAGCCCTCAGGTAAATCCGCCCCTGCATAGCGCAATACTTTAGTACAATCCGCAACAAAATCTGTTAAGCTGTTCTTGCGATTAGCGACCACAAACGTACAGACATACAAGTAAACAAGAAGTATTATACAATAATCTTATTATTAATATTATAAACGTGAAAGTTTGTGAGTATGGATGGATTTTTGTTACACTTTCACGCAATACTGAACGGTCTTTGATGAAACTTTACAGTAATATAGCTTATTCATCAGAATAACATATAGGTTATAATTTAAAAAGATATTATGTAAATCATTACATAGTATAAAACAAAGTTGATGTCTGTCCGTCCCCATGCATGCTTAAATATTTAAAATTTTATTTTTATATTTATTTGATTTTTTTTATATAGCATATGCTGGTGGTCACTCTATTCTCCCAAATTTGAATTTAAATGAAATAGTATTATGGTAAATATGTTCAACATTAAAAAAAAAATACGAGCTGAGTTTCTTGTCAGTTCTTCTCATCTCGAAATCATTCCGAACTGACGGTAGATTTGACATATCATAAAAGTCTGTAATAGAATAAAGATATTTTGAATTTAAATTTGAATTTTTGAAAACTACGCAACGGATTTCGAAGGGGGTTTTTTTAATAGATGGAGTGATTCTAGAGGAAGGTTTATATATATAATACATGTACACCCGGGCGGAGACGGGGCCAGTACCTAGTTGGACATATTATTATAAATGTCAAATAAGTGAAATGCAGACGAAGTTGCGCATCAGCTAGTACATCCATAATATATATAGTAAATACGCAGATCAACACAAATAATCATACTCGTGAATGCAAGTGTTTGTAACGCGCTGGGATTCGAACCCGCGATCATCGGAAGCGAGGCGGTGTAATTAACCGCTAAACCACCGAGGCCGTCGAGATATGTAGTATTTCTCATTTATCTTCCGTGTAGAGACTGCGTTCGGTTCTTTTTATTATATGGTATATATATGGTTAATTGTTTCTTTAATGACTTTGGTTATATTCTAGTTTAGTCTTAAGGATGTGATATTTATAAAGCTATAAAAGTACTAGATGATCCGGTAAACGTTTTCCTGACTAGAACAGAATAGAATAGAAAATCATTTATTCAAATAAACTTAATTTAAGCACTTTTGAATAGTCAAAATTTTTTTAAATCTACCGCTTATACGGAAAGCTGTCTCATCACAAGAAGAATAAGCAAGAAACTTGTGTGTTGCTCTTTTAAACAATCCTTGTAAGTGCACATTTTACAAGTCGAAACGTGTGAATACAAACTACCAACCAGCACTAATTTATTTAGGCTCAAATATAAAAACACAATAAGATTAAATCAGTCATAGTGATAAGAGCAGACCAGTCCCTACAAGCAGCACTCGTTCATGAGTGCTGCATGACGGATGAGCCAGCCATCACTGCGCTCGACCATATTTTAGGGAGCCCAATGACCCGGCCCACCACGCCGCCACATGTCTGGACATTTTAGTGAGCATGACTACTCATTCCACTCGACCACGTCACAGCTACAAAAATTACTATATGGTAGTTACAGTATTCGCATTTTACATGAGGATGCATGCGGTAATCAATACAAAAGCCGCTACGCTGTCATATATCAAAAATTAATATCGCTAATAAAAAATAAGGGATGGTGGTAGAGGGGCGGAAATTTGGGAGTGTATTTTTTAATTGTCACATTTTGTTATTGCCCAATTTTGTTACATTATTATAATAATAATAATAATCTCAGGACAATTCACACAGCGGCATCTAGACCCAAGTTAAGCTAGCTAAAGCTTGTGTTATGGGTACTAGATAACTGATACAAATATATAGATATTCTTTTTTTTTCGTAAATACATACGTATTGTATATAGAATCACCCAGACCGATATAAACAATCATACTCATGAATACAAATGTTTGTGCCGTGCGAGGAATCGAACCCGCGACCATCGGATGTAAAGCGGTGTGCTAGACCGCTATACCACCGAGGTCGTCAATTGTAATATTATTGTAATTAATAATAAATTATTGTCAATTTTTATGTTTGTTCATTTTGTTAGTAGTAGTTTAGAACTTAAGTACAATCGTCGTTGTTCTCTTATTATATTAATTTAATAATCTATACATATAAATAAAATTGGAGTGTCTGTTTGTAATATTGAAATAACCGTTTTTTACTACATGCATATGAATATAAATACGGTACATACATCAAAATAATTTTTTTTACAATTTTTGTCTGCCTATCTGTTTGTTCCGGCTAATCTCTGCGATGGCTGGACCGATTTTGACGGGAATTTTATTGGCAGGTAGCTGAAGTAATAAGGCTACTTTTATTTTAGAATAATAAAGTTAAAATCCACGCGGACGAAGTCGCGGGTGTTTCTAGTAAAAGGCTATAACAGAATAGCAGAGAAGGTGGACTCACTGCCCCCTATGAGTTATAGACCGTTTTGTCTTCTTCATTACTTTTAAATTTTATTATTGTATGGGCAGCAATTGTGGTAGTTTTTATTTGAGACAAATAAATATTATTCATCATCATCATCATCGCAGTCCGGATGACGTCCACTGCTGGACATAGGACTATATAGCACTGCCCGCTGTTTGACTGACATAAAATATGTAGCCTATGTGTTATTCTGATGTATAAGCTATATAACTGTAAAGTTTCATCAAAATCCGTTCAGTAATATTTGCTTGCAAGAGTAAAAGATATCCATCCATACTTACAAACTATAGAGTTTATAATATTAGTAAGATATAACGAGAATCAATTGATACAATATATTACAAATAGTAAAGTTTATAATTTATCGACAGTTCAAAATCACGCTACATAGATTGTAAACTAAAAGTGTTCACTAACGTAAAGTATCTTGTACATTATCAGAGATAACACCGGAAACTATTGAGGTAGGATACAGCTAAAGGTCACCGTTATAAATATGGTCCATATCATATATCAGTAAGGTCTTAAATGATAACATAGTCATAGAAGCTGCATCTTGAGAGATTGATTAATGTAGTATAATCTAAAGGGAAAGAAAGGGGATTTTTGTAATGTGGATTTTTAGTCAGGTTCACCTCCGCGGGGTTCCCTCTGGTTACCATCGTGATAAATTACTCGTGAATTTTTCACGATCACCTGACTGACCTGATTTCATGTTCATCTTATCATCCTCCACTGGTGCCCCGCCAGCGTATACCGTCAGCGCAGGCGGGTGCACCATTCCATTATCATCCATTAACAAAAATAGTTCATGTATTTATGTTGTCTGTATATGTGTATCTATCGTAGGCATGGTGCAACGGTTTGTGTTGGTCTGGGTGTTTTCTATGTGTATTATGTATTTATTTATGAGAAAAATCTATATATTTGTATCAGTTGTCTAGTACCCATAACACAAGCTCTAGTTAGCTTAACTTGGGACTAGATGGCGTTGTGTCTTTTGGTCAGGGTCATTTATTATATATATAACATATCGGAAGAAATCACAGATAAATAAAAAAAATTAGTAATATGACCGGTTGAATGCCAGTGAGGCAAGAAATAGTGCGGCTGTGCCTAAAAACCGCTTTACCGAACGAAACGAACTCCCAATTTTGACTTAAATTGAGATGAATTCTCCAATTTCCAGATACACGAGGAATCTAGTGGATGCTGGTAACGGTGCATTCAACATCATGATCCTCTGCTGGGGACCAGGACACGCCTCTCCTATACACGACCACGCTGACTCACACTGCTTCATGAAGCTACTCAGTGGAAGCCTGGAGGAAGTCAGGTAGGTACCTATTTTATATCCTAAACGGCAAATAAACTGATAGTCCATATGGTTAAACGGCTTATACACACCGCGGTTCGATTCCCTAGTAGTGCCCTCAGACTGAAGGAAACTGATAGTCCATATGATAAATAAATGGCCTATACACGCCGAGGTTTCATCCCCTAGAGGTACCCTTAGACTGAAGGAAACTGATAGTCCATATGATAAATGAACGGCCTATACACGCCGAGGTTCGATCCCCTAGTAGTGCCCTTAGATTGTAGGAAACTGATAGTCCATATCATAAATAAACAGCCTATACACGCCGAGGTTCGATCCCCTAGTAGTGCCCTTAGATTGAAGGAAACTCATAGTCCATGTGATAAATAAACGGCCTATACACGCCTAGGTTCGATCCCCTAGAGGTACGCTTAGTTAGTTAATCTATATGATAAATAAACGGCCTATACACGCCGAGGTCCGATCCCCTAGTAGTGCCCTTAGATTGAAGGAAACTCATAGTCCATATGATAAATAAACGGCCTATACACGCCGAGGTTTGATCCCCTAGAGGTACCCTTAGACTGAAGGAAACGGTTAATCTATATGATAAATAAACGGCCTATACAGGCCTTCAGACCGAATGATGCTATCAATAGTGTCCCGCCAGTGTGCTGTTGTATTTCATAATATGAAAAACAGACAAGAAATTTAGGTAACAATTATGAACTATGATACAAAGTTATCAAAGGACATTAACTTCATAATATTTTAGTTACAAAAGAGGTGAACTTACATTCCTTTAAAACCGGTTATAACTAAATACGAAACGATATCTCGCCGCTAGCTTATCAACAATGAATATTTCGTGAAAACATTTTACATAAATATTATTGTGTATACAGATAAACGTCACTATTAACTATTAAAATATGATCTCTTTTTGCATCATTTTATTTTTATTATTATGACTAAATAATTATTGATGCTTGCGTGCTGAAACAGTTTTTTTTTAATTTATTTACTGATCAAGGATACATTATATACATCTATGTATACACTACATTCCTCTGATCGATCCCGTTATCTCGTTTTTAATCAGATCTGGTATGATTTTTATGTCAAATCTACTCTACTCACTGATCTGTAATAGTTAATTAATTATTTGGCAAATCTTTTGTGGACTCCCGCGATACAGGTGCGGTGTCCAATGTATAATCAATTTTATAATATTTGTATGAATAAATAAATGTAATGAAATGTGCCCCTTCAACCTCTCTTTAATATTTACTAAGCAAGCTAAATCATATAATACATATATTAGATAGATATCCACGCAGACTAAAGACACGACCATGTTCAAAATTATATACATACAATATAATAACCCAAGACCATTCACACAGCGACATCTAGTCCCAAGTTAAGCAAAGCCGGTGGTCTAGGTATACAACTGTATGTAACGGTAGTACTGATATAAATAGTCTTATACTATCCAGACCGATACAATACAAACAATCATACTAATGAATACAAATACGAGGAATCGAACTCGCAACCATCGTTAGTAAAACAGCGTGCTAAACTGCTGGACCACAGAAGGTACAATACAAACAATCATACAATTGAATACAAATACGAGGAATCGAACTCGCAACCATCGTTAGTAAAGCGGCGTGCTACACCGCTGGACCACAGGGGGCGTCAAAAAAGCTGTAAAAAATATAAACATGATATTTGTATGTATACATAATATAGTCTAAATATTAAAATCACCTTTAAACAATGCTCCCGGATTTTCCCACAACCGTTATCAGATAAAAAGACAGTTACCTATTTGTTTATTTAATCTACACAGATACCAGTGGCCCCAGAACGTCCATTCAGAGGTCAAGAAATCATTAAAAAACAAACAGTCCGGATGCCAGAGACAAATAAATGATACGTGTTGTCAAAGTGACAGCTGTCAGTGTGCAGAAATGGCCGACATCTGTGAACGCACTGTAAGAATTGGCGCGAAATGCGAACAAGATGGCGACCAAGAATGCAATATTAGCGATATGGTTGAAATAGGAAAGACATCTTTGAAATTAGACGACGTATGTTACATAAATGGTAAGTGAAAAAAGATAATTATATTATTAACAGTATTTTTTTTTAACATATACTAGCTACCGGGTGGGTAGATTTTGCTACCGGCTTTGCACCGGTGTACATGTATTATATATATGAACCTTCCTCTTGAATCACTCTATCTATTAAAAAAAACTGCTTCAAAATCCATTGCGTAGGTTTCAAGATTTAAGCATACATAGGGACAGACAGCGACAGCGCCTTTATTTAATACTGTTTTATGATTTAACTTAATAATCTCTATAAATTTGACCATATATCTGTCTCAGCTTAATTGACTTTACAATACATTAGTGCAGGCAATATACATTGTTATGCAGTCTCTTCTCTATTCGTCATACTCGTGAACGAGTGCTACTTGTCTAGACTGGTCTGTTCTAATCGCTACGACTGATTTAATCTTGTTGTGTATTTAATATTTTGACTCTAATAAATTATAAACATTAAACTTCAAAATGTAAATGTTACAATGATTATTTAAAAGAGCAACACGCAAGTTTCTTGCTCGTTCTTCTTGTGACGAGACAGCTTTCCGAATGAGCGGTAGATTAAAAAAAGATAAATGTGACTATTCAAAAGTGCTTCACTCCTAGCTGTGTCCTCAGACTAAAGTCGTATCCATCAGGCGGAAGTTGGCTTCAGCCACTTCATAAGTCCTTCCTTTAGTTCGGAGTGCCATCTGCACTCGCCCCTTATCGTCCGGTGAAACTGTAAAGGCTAGCTGCAGCGAACAGCATTGGAGTAGGTCGAAAAAAAGTGCTTAAATTTAAGTTTATTTCAATAAATGATTTCTTATCTGAAATGTAAATTGCAGTATCCCTATAAAGTTAGTTCAAATAAATTTCTAACTTTTGCAGTCATCCTTTATGATATACAGTAAGACCCTGCCTAACGCGAGGGATACGTTCCAATAATTTCCAGCACTAAACGAAACAGCGTTAATGAGGCTATCTCCGAAGAAAGACTTCGGAATTTGGAATCACTACAATCAATATTATTGTTTTCTTCTCGCTCAGTTAATTCTTTAAGCTCTTTAATAGAAATACTAGCTAGTATTTTTTGACCTATTTCCTCGTCGACTTTCTGTTAGGTTCCGGGGAGGGTTAATATAGGAGCGCTAAACCGACACAGTGAAAAGCGGGGTCTTACTGTACTCTTATATACGGGGATCGAAATTACGACGGCCTGAGCCGAGGTTCGAACCACTAGCGGTGCCCTCAGACTATAGTCGAATCCGTCTGGCGGGAATTGGCCCTCCGCAGATTTGGAGTCCCATCTGCACGCGCCCCCTATCGTCCGGTGAAGCTGTAAAGGTCAGCTCCGGCCAACAGCATTAGAGTAGTCCAAAAAAATGTACTGTTACATTGGGAGTTCTGAAGGGTGTGAAATGACTGTTGGATGTAGACTAAGGTATCATACGTAGGTATGATACCTTGGGAATGAGAACAGGTATCAAATAAAACTCTTTTCATAAAACCTGCCTCGGAAAGTCAAGTTGCTCTTCTTCAAATGCTCTTTCTATCTCTATTCCAGATGCCCAGGGTCTTCACAGAATGCAGAATGGACACGTCGATGAGGCGGTCTCGTTGCATTTATACTGCCCACCATTTGACAGTTGTCAAGTCTTTGACGCAAGGTCTGGGAAGCCAACTATAGTGCCCGTTACTTTTTGGTCTAAATATGGCACCAAAGTCGATAGGGTAAGTTCTAGTTATCTATATCTGGATAAAACACAGCGCCATCTAGTCTCAAGCTGAACAGAGCTAGTGTTAATGGTATTAGACAACGGATAGAAATAAATACATATATAATATGTATAGAAAACACCCAAACCAATACAAGCAATCAAACTTATGAATACAAATGTTTGTATTTTACGAGTAATCGAACCCGCTACCATCAGAAGGCGGTGTGCTAAACTGCTAACTACCTAGAATACACAAGGATCACCTAAAATCGTAGTCCTAAATACAAAACGTATTGTTTATTTATTTATTTATTTAAACTTTAATGCACAAATACAACATATAAATGTACATATGGCGAACTTAACACCTAAGGGCGTTCTCTACCAGTCAACCATAAGGCAAACTGAGAAGTTAGTAAGCGGCGCATTATAGTTTATAAACATTTACGTAGTAACTTTAAAATAATACATATTATTAGACATACATACTTACATACGACACATAAATAAATATATACACATATACATACTTGGATTAAATATTTAGATACAGGAAAATTACCCATGTATGAGGCAGAAAATAAGTTCAATAGAGCGGAAAAGAAAGAGATAAATAAATATATTGTGATATTGTGTTTGAAATCTGCGTATCTCAATCCAGATTATTTATTAATATGTATAGAGAGCATCAGGGCCAAGTGGTTTACTGCCTTAAACTACACCCATGAGGCCAAATCTGTTAAAAAAAACTTTGTGAGTCAATGTGGATTTCTGACTGAATCTCTGGTGATGGTAACAACGTCATATAATCAAATCAAATGTACCTTTGTTTGTTCGTGCATAAAGGTCTAATTAAAAAATCCCAAAGTAAAATAAAGAGTAAAAAGGTTTATTAATTGATACTTAAATAAAATCTATAAGATAAAAAATTTTAGCCTAGAGTCGGCAGTGGATCGCTCTTGCCACGTTATATTTAAATATATCGAGGGAAATGTGGACATGTCAAGTGTTGCGTTCACCACAACATAGACAGTGGACAATACCTCTGACTACCACCCCATCTGGGATAATAATCATTACAGTATATTTGTATAATAATAATAATCTCAGGACAATTCACACAACGCCATCTAGACTCAAGTTAAGCTAGCTAAAGTTTGTGTTATGGGTACTAGATAACTGATACAAATACATAGATGATTTTTTTTCGTAAACACATACATATTATACATAGAAAATACCCAGACCGATACAAACAATCATACTCATGACTACAAATGTTTGTGCCGTGCGAGGAATCGAACCCGCAACCATCGGTCATAAAGCGGTGTGCTAGACCGCTAGACCATCGATGTCGTCAAAATACAAAATTGTATGTTTTATTATATTCATTTACTTTAAAAACACTTATAATAAAGTAAAGTATGTTTTCTATTTCAGAATATCGCAGCTAAAACTCAGATCGCTGACAGTCAATAAGATGATATCAATCATAAAAACCTGATAAAGCAACATTTATATATATTATTTACGGGGAGTTAATCTAGAGCAACAATTCATCATTTTATCATCATCTATATATACTTCATAGACGCTACTTCGAAGAATTACATATATTAAATGGTACTTCCATTTAATATATGTTAAAGTAATACGTAAGCAGATTTATTACAATTCCCCCCCCCCCCCCCCAGACCCCTTGTCAGAAAAGTACGCAAAGCTCTTATGATTACGTAAACATGAACGAAAAAATAAATAATTACCGATGACGTAATCAATCAAATCAAAATTCATCCAGAATAAGCAAATAAGAGAATATCACATTAGTGATATTCTCTTATTTGCGCTTCTACGCTATTTGCCCTTTTGCGCTAAGGTTTAACTCGTTTAAACAATTATAGAAGAAAATATAGAAGCTAAAAAAATATCATCTGGAAATGTTATAAATATATATGAGTTAAGCAATATATAAAATAATAGAAGACATATCAATTATGTTTTTAAAGTGGTAAAGAATAATCTCGTGGATAGAATCTACTAGTAGTGTTGTAATAGTGAATCTAAATCTTAAAAATATAAGCATGTAAATGTAGAAAAAACTATCTAAGGCTTTAAAACGAAATCTTATAAAGATCTGATCTTATTTAAGTAAGTAATGCTAATAGTAGTATGTAGTAAGTAATGTTAATAACACTTTATGTCATCGGAATAGAAAATAAGCTAACGGCACTAATGTCCACTCTATTCACTCGATTCATAATAATAATAATAATAAAAACCAGCAAAAGCTGAGAAAAAATAAAGAATAATAATAATAATAATTTATTTGCTCATAATATATTGTGGGATTCCGGGGCGGCTCACTCCCGGGAAAGATGCAGAAAGCGGTGCTGTTAGATTCTGCCCGCATTGTACGCCGGTTTCTCTCCCTGGGGCCCTGAACCCCGGCCGACTATGCTTCTTGCCGGGGGTATGTTGCCATCTCCTCTCCTTAAGAGGGGAGATGAGAATTTTTGAAAAAAAAAAAATTATTTGCTCATAAAGTCTGTAATAGACCTACATGAATAAAGACATTTCGATTTGGTTTTGATGGTAAGTGGTAATAGTCGTCGGAAGTGTCAGGTTGACCGTCAGTTTATTTGCTATTTCAATTGCATTATTAATATTGTTTTTCTTTATTTAAATCCAAATTAGTATACCAATGATATTATTTACTACTAGCTTTTGCCCGCGGCTTCGCTCGCGGTAATTTATCCCCTTAAGGGTGGAATTTATCAAAATCCTTTCTTAGGGGATGCCTACGTCATAGTAGCTTTATGCGTGCAAAGTCTCAGCCCCATCGGTTTAAAATTGACAAAGTTTCATCCCCTGGGTAGAATTAATCAAAATCCATTCTTAGCGGATGCCTACGTCATAACATCTACCTGCATGCCAAATTTCAGCCCGATCCGTTCAGTGGTTTGCGCTGTGCGTTGATAGATCACTATGTCAGTCACCTTTGAGTTATATATATTTAGATATCAAAGTGCCTTACTATTGCAGATGCATACTCGATATTACAATTGCTTATCACCATATAATCATGTCAGATAAATGCTCGTAAATTTAATGTAAATTACACTCGGATTTTAATATTAAGTTAATCCAATATAAATATGAATTTATATATGTATATTTATAAATAAAAAAATAATTTTTCCTTTTTAAAATTATAATAATGATCGTCAATTTGTAGTAGATTTTGTAGAAAATCATCTGCGTACGTACCCATTTCTTACCTAGCCGCCAACAAGCCAGCTAAAATGTCATGCCTCTTATAATTTAGATAGATAGATAGATATTTTTTTATTTGTGTTAAAGACACACATACACAATGCACTGTAATATTAACAACAAACAAAAAATGATTACATTAGTCAGTCAACAAAATACAATACAATACAGGTACTAAAAAGAAAATGGCTTTTTTTTTCGGACTACTCTAATTCTGTTGGCCGCAGCTGGCCTTTACAGCTTCACCGGACGATAGGGGGCGAGTGCAGATGGCACTCCAAACCAAAGGAAGGACTTATGGAGCGGCTGAAGGCCAACTCCTGCCTGACAGATACGACTTTAGAAGAAAATGGCGTGAGTAACGTATGTGTGCATAGTCTATACACAAAAAGGCAGTACCACAGTGTATTGTTTGCAAACTACTGATTTTCAGGTACAATAATTATAATTTCAATGCCTAATTCCTTTCTACAACTGAAATACATCTTACAAAGTGAGGTGATTGGTGATTGAAACGAATTGAGAGCTATACGGATGGTATAAAATGAGCAAGTTAGGTCAATTGTGATTTGTTTTGTTTGATTTATTTTCTGCTGTGCCCGTGGTTACTCGCGTGAATTATATTTTATCAGAATAGCCTATGTGTTATTCTGATGTATAAGCTATGTCACTGGAAAGTTTCATCAAAATTCGTTCAGTAGTTTTTGCGTGAAAGAGTATATTTTAAATTAATAATGTTTAGCTATACCTACAGCATTTGTATAAAAATGCAATAGATACATTTCTTGCTCATTCCTATGCTGAAACTGCTGCTTTCCAAATACGTGATGCATTAAAAGTGCTTATATTTAGGTTTATTTATAATATACATATATCTTATATATAAAATTCTCGTGTCACAGTTTTCGTTTCCATACTCCTCCGAAACCGATTCTCATGAAATTTTGTGAGCGTATTGAGTAGGTCTGAGAATCGGCCAACATCTATTTTTCATCCCCCTAAATGTTAGGGGTAGTCCAACCCTAATTTTTTTTTTATTTTAAGGCAAAACAACGTTTGCCGGGACACCTAGTTTATTTATATTTTAAACTACTTATATATCCAGTGTTCGTCTGGTACAGGCAGCAGCAGGAAAAGTGATGATAAAATGAGACCAGTCGTGGCTTTGTATATATATATGTGTATTCTTATATTATTTACAGTAGTCAATGATAATAATAATATAAATGGAAATTATATAAGAAAAGAAGAGATTCGGTCCGCTATGACAGGATTCTTATTCTTCTGGTCCCATCGTAACTAGGCAACGGTTTTGCCGCACGATGATAGTAGATTTGCCACATACTGAAATGTTGCTTTTAGCTGGATATTTTAATATAGAAACTTCTAGAAAATATTTACAATTCGGGATATATTTTAAGACTATAATATTTACTTAAGTGATGTTTTAGATAGATTTAATAATTTTTAAATTTTATTGTAAGTTGTATACATTGTAGACATAAATTTAGTTTGTATATAATGTTCATTTATGTAATGTGTACAACAGTGACTATATTAAATACTAAAACAATATTTTGATATAAATATACACGTAATTTAAAAAAAATTACTCATATGATTTATACGATCATATTGTAGAAAATAAAATGACAATTAAATATTATTGTACAAAATTTAATATTTTTTAATATTTGTATTAATATTGTTTATTATTTACAAAATTTATTACATAAATAATTATACATATGTATCATTAGTAGCTTTTGCCCGCTAGGGGTGGAATTTATCAAAATTCTTTCTTAGGGGATGCCTACGTGAAAGTAGCTTTATGCATGCAAAGTCTCAGCCCGATCGTTTTAAAATTGACGAAGTTTCATACAAACTTTCATCCCCTCTTTTATCCCCTTGGGGGTAGAATTAATCAAAATTCTTAGATGATGCCTACGTCACAACATCTACTTGCATGCCAAATTTCAACCCGATCCGTCCAGTGGTTTGGGTTGTGTGTTGATAGATCACTATGTCAATCACCTTTGAGTTATATATGTTTAGACGTATAATTATTTATATAATACACCATGTATTTATACATAGTATTTATCAATATACATTTTAATTTATTAATAAATAAAATAAAATAAATTAAATTATATATTGATAAATATTGTATTATTAATCATTGAATGTTTTGTATTTATTAATTTATTAGTATTGGATTACTTTTTAATTATTATAAACTGTTGATCTTCTTAATATATATAATTCTTTTATAGTTGTGTTTATCATTTAACTCCTCTAAACGACTGGTACAACTTGGATGAAACTTTATGTGTGTATTTATTATGGGTTCCTGAATGATATTGAAACACAATTTGACTCTGCATAAAAACTCTGCTTAAATTCATATCGAATAGAAAGAAAGAAGAAAAATGAAAAATATTTTATTCAGTGCTTTTGAATTACAAGTTACAATATAAAAAACAAACAAACGAAAAAGAAAGAAATCAAATAAAATGTATATATGATTGAACCTAATGTAGTGTATATATAATTAAACCATGTAGATAATTAAAAATAAACATAAAATAATCATATTTTAGCCACTGAAATTTTTTTTTACTCTGCTTTAATGTATAAATTATCAAATTACCCCCTTGACAATCAAATTGCCCCCTGTAGGGCGTGGGCCCCACGTTGAGAAACACTGGCATAAATTATTTCCTAATAGCGTCTTTTGATAACCCACAATTTCAAATGCACACGCGTGTTACGGGTACAAACCCCCTAGGTCCATACAGCTATATACTTTTTACACAATCAGCATGGATACAATGATTGTTCTTAAAAAGTATGTCCCAATACTTTTCAACAGTTGATGACTCAAAAGAACGGCATCCAAGAGGTACGAGAACAAAGGACGGCAGGCGGACGGTCACTGTATATTTAAACTACTGTTGAATTATGTCCAGTGTCTATAAGGTGCTTTGCGAAATGCGATCTATCTGGTTTAATGTTTCTGAACACCGATAGATATTCTTTTAAATGAGTTTCGAAACTACGACCCATTTGGCCTGTAGATTTAGTTGCGAACGCGAATAAGTTAATTTAGTTATAAGTGGAATCAATCGCGATTACTAATTGAAATTAAATTTAAGTAAATATGTTAACTGAACTTTATTTGTTTTTAAAAAAACCCATTACCAACCGTTAGAACGTAATCCGCGTTTTAAATAAAGAAACACCTTCATTATCATTACATAGTATAAAACAAAGTCGCTGTCGCTGTCCATCCGTCCCTATGTATGCTTAAATCTTTAAAACTACGCAACGAATTTTGAAGCGGTTTTTTTTAATAGATAGAGTGATTCAAGAGGTTCATATGTGTATTACATATACACCAGGGCGAAGTCGGGGCGAGTAGCTAGTTACATAATGTAAAACAAAGTCGACTCCGCTGTTCGCTTGTATCTTTTAAATTACTCAACGGATTTTAATGCAGTTTCCACCAATAGATAAATGATTCAAGTATAATACATGTACATGTACGAAGCCGGGGCGAGTAACTACTCGCTAGTTCATGCATAATTTAAAAGCTACGCTCTTGTCGGGGGTGCTCTTGTCATTTATCTCACTATTTATTAAATAAAACATGATATTAATTATGCCAAATATATTTTATTATTTATATAACATTTTAATTAACTTATAAAAATATATTTACATTAAACAGTTAATAAATTCATATTTAACAACAATATTTACTGTTTTGACAGCTCGGCAATAAGCGAATCGACTTGGTCCAACGGGACATATAACCTCACACCGCTACCATCTGAAGTCCTCTGTATTTTGTTTCTTACACAACCCGCATTACATATAAAGTCGCAAGTCAAAGTGTTGGGATTGAAATGTAAACCTTCAGAGCATGTCACTAGGATTTCATTTTCTCCTTCGCAAATCCAGTATTTGTCGCAGTCGTCATCTGCCCATGGGAGTGGGTTGCATTCTTCCACGCATTTAGAGGGAGGGCTGGTAGGAGCTACAGTAGTAGTAGGAGTAGTTACAGCCTCTGTCGTATTAGTGGTTGCAGGCTGAGTACAATTAGGAGTGCTAGTTGTACTAGTGCTAGTTATAGCCTCTGTCGTATTAGGAGCTACAGTAGTAGTAGGAGTAGTTATAGCCTCGGTAGTGTTAGGAGCTAACGTTGTAGTAGTAGTAGTGCCTCCGCAACCACCGCCTCCTGGCGTGCAAGGAGGTCTGGTCGGTTCACATCCAGCATTTTGTGGCCAGTCGCATACCTGTTGAAGATACATAGACATAATAATGAATTTGAATTTAAAAATAAATATGTATTATAGTAAACATGTACAACATTTATTTGAAAAGAATACGAGGCGAATTTCTTGTCAGTTCTTCTCATCTCGAAATCTGTAACTGTACCGTCAGTTCGGAATGATTTGACATATCATAAGAGATTAGCCGGAACAAATAGACCGACAGACAAACTGACAAAAAATTTTAAAAGTGGTTTATGTTCCGTATTTATATTCATTATCCATGCAGTAAAAAACGGTTATTTCAATATTACAAACAGACTCCAATTTTATTTATATGTATAGACATAGATATAAATGTTTGTATCGTGCGAATCGAACCCACGACTATTATAAGATGGAGAATAGCGCACGATACACGCCAATTATTGTAGATATTATTCACAAGTTTGGACATATTTCTCCTAGTTATTTTCACCCAAAAAAGTACAAGTAGTCCTACTAAATTTAAGTTGATGAAATCTATGGGACAAATCTGCAAGAATATTTTTTATAGAAACAAGAAGTTATTAAATGCGTAAAGTCATAAAATTAAACTGAAAAACTCATTTTTGTGTAATTAGTTAAAAACATAGTTTATGTGATAATAATATAACAAATATTTCACCTGTAGAACAGGTGAATCATGTTCTTGGTATAATCTTTAGTCTATTTGCAGATATCATCGTCTTTTAAATAATAACTAAATACTTAAAAGGTAAATTATTGTACCTGCAGCACAGGATTGAAGTGAAGTCCGGCTGGACAATCTGTGATAACTTTCTCTCCGGACACGCAGTAGTAGAACTGGCCGCAGTCTTCAGCAGGCAGGAGCAAGCTTACGTCGGGACATACGGGGCAGCCGTTCGGTAGTCTTGCGTCCTCATCGCACGGTGCTTCTGTTTCACATGGCTCTTCTGTGGTAGTAGTACTGGGTGTGGTACTTGTAGTTGTGGTACTGGTAGTAGTGGTACTAGTTGTGGTACTGGTAGTAGTGCTGCCACCACAACCACCACCTCCTGGCGTGCAAGGAGGTCTGGTCGCTTCACATCCAGCACTTTGTGGCCAGTCGCATACCTGTATTTGGAAAACATATTAATATTTTAACAACTATATAGATATATAGATAAAACTTTTTTTACGTTAAAGGACACAAACTCAAGGTACAGTAATATAAAGAAAAAAAGTAAATGCATAACTACATTGGTAGGTAAACAAAATACAATATAGGTACAAAAAACGTGTGAGTAGTTAACCCGCGCAACTTTGTCCACATTACACTTACTTGACTTTTATCATTGTATCCGCCCAATTTACGTAATATTTTTTTAAATTATTCCCCATGTGTCATTCTGTTGTATAAACTATATAACTGTTAGGTTTCATCAAAATCCGTTTAGTAGTTTTTTAATGAAAGAGTAACAAACATCCATCCATCCTATCCATCCGTACTTCCAACTTTCGCGTTTATAATATTAATAAGACTAGTGAGATAAATAATATAGAACAATTCACACAGCGCCATCTAGTCCCAAGCTGAGCAGATATTGTGTTATGGGTACTAGACAACTGGTATAAATACTTAAATACATTTTTTGTAAATAATACAATATACATAGGAAACACCCAAACCAATACAAACAATCATACTCATGAAAACAAATGTATGTACTGTGTGAGGAATTGAACCCGTGACTAGAAGTAAAGTGCTGTACTAAATCGTTAGACTACCGAGGCCGTCAATTCTTGAAGAACTCATCATGTTACGCTGTACGTTACAGTTACTGAAAACAAAGCCTCTTATATACCTTTGTACCCTGTAATTTCACTGCTATATCTTACTCTTAATGATAGGTTATCCACAATAAATTATTTACCTGCAGGACAGGATTGAAGTGAAGTCCAGCTGGGCAATTTGTTATCACTTTGTCTCCGTGTACGCAGTAGTAGAACTGGCCGCAGTCTTCAGCAGGCAGGAGCAGGTGTACGTCGGGACATACGGGGCAACCGTTCGGTAATCTTGCGTCCTCATCGCACGGTGCTTCTGTTTCACATGGCTCTTCAGTTGTGGTAGTGGTACTAGGTGTGGTACTAGTACTGGTAGTGGTACTGGTACTAGTAGTGTTGTTTCCGCAACTGCCACCGCTTTCAGGGGTACAAGGTGGAATGGTTGGTTCACAACCAGCATTTTGAGGCCAATCACAAACCTGTAGAAGGAATTTTATTGTTATCAAATGGCTTTTGAATATGGTGAAGATACCAAAATATTTTTTTTTACCTTAATATTTTAACTTTATATTTATATAATATATACATATTGTATAGTTACTTAAATATATTAGTAAATTTAAAACAGTTCTCGCTAATATCCCACAACGCTTTCTGAAACCCTAAGGTTAGCTAAGAGAGAATGCCACACGACATTAAGCTCGCCAGTTGTACAAAAGTTTTTGTTCAATAATTAATTAATTAATTAATGGAAAACAAGTTGTCGGCTTAAAAATGATTAAAATTATTGCAACTAAAAATGTTAGATTAAACGATATGAATTAAACAAAACGGAAACGAATACGTCACAGATTAGTAAGATTAACAACGACTGAGGTTAATCGTATAGATACAAAGATTACGATGATTAACAACTTATTATCATAATGTTAATTATCATATATAAAAGGTAATTTGTTATCGAAAAAATTCACAAAAACAACGCAATTGACAGTTTTTAATGTATATATGGACGATTATAACATTGTACTTAGTTTTATCGCGACCTCCAACAAAGTTCGTCTTCAAACGATCGTGTACAGTATTGTCAACACAAGTTTCTTGCTCGTTCTTCTTGTGATGAGGCTGCGTTTCGAATGAGCGGCAGAATAAAAAAATATGACTATTCAATAGTGATTATATTAAGTTTATTTAAATAAAGATTATTTCTATTTCTATTTAATATAATGTAACATTAAAATCTACGAGTATATGAATTATTAGATATAATATAAAATATATACATAATATGAATACTAGCTGGCTCAACAGACTTTGCCCTATAATTAGGAATATTTCATTCGTACTATTCTAATGTTCTGCGCAATTTTCTTAAGTTTTTCTGTCATAAGTACCTTCTTCAGAAATAGCGAAATTGGTAGAGTCGTTCACGCGTGATGCCGTGATTAAGCGAAATGCAGATTAATTTTTATACATATATATCTATTATATACTAATATTATTATACATATAGAGAGAGGAAGTTTTTTTATGAGATTAGTAAACTCCGGCCTTATTTTAAGAATATAACAATACGAGTGATTTGTTTTGTTACTCAATTATGTGTTTACTTTGATTATAATGAATTCGTGTTAATTGCTTGTTCTTATTCACACAAAATCTTAAACAATTTTGAGCAATATCTATTTGATAAAGCAATAAGCAAGTTTCTTGGTGACTCTCTTTGGTTGAATCTGCATTCTGAATAAATTGTAAGATATTTCAACTCTATGTACTAGTACAAGTATGTATTATAATAAAATAACAACTATATAGCATTAATTTAACGATGTCTCTAACACAATTCACTTTAGCATTTAAATTACAACCAGTATATCCTGTGCTCAAAGACCGAATGCCGCGGCCTACAAAAACCCTCCCTTTTATACAGAGAAGATATGAATGGGGGTTATACGCAACTTGTTTAACGATATCGAGTAATAATGAAACTATCTTCTTTTAATATTTTTAATTATCAGATTTTTCGAATATCGATGTGAACCCTAACAAAATGTTAGAATAAAAACATATGACTATCCAAAAGTGCTTATTATTTGAACGATAATTTCAATAATTTTTTCTCCTATACGTATAAATAGTTCATCGATCATAATTAGTTAAGATTTTAGAGAAACTCTTAAGACCAACAACGGCATTTGAATTGCAATAATCAGAACAGATAAAGTTATCCTTTAATAACAAAATGTCTACTTATATTCACAATATTGTTTCGACCATAATCCATCATAAGTTTTGAGAGGATTAAATTTCTTGATGATATCTCTATAAATGACTCTTCGAAATGGCATTAAATATTATTTACTTATGTACGTACCTAAGTACTTTTGTGGAATTTGGGTTTCGTTGGCTTCGTCTTCTTATTTGTTTAATTTGTTTCTTAAACACCAATATTGCCACCTATATCCATTTGTAATTAACCAATCATCAAACTGTAATTAACTTACTACTAACTAGTAATTAACTATAAAGAAGCAATGTTGTAAATTTGTTTTATCACAATTTTCGTCTGTTTCTATTACTACCATTCATATACTATTAATATCATCGTCTACATAGGCTATATCACCACAATTATATTAATACCTATTTTTAAAATATTCATTCTGACCAAACTTACAAGATAACATTAAGCTATTATCACCATTATCATTAACTGTCTGTAATTCATTAGGAGATTATGATTTTATAGTTTATTTGCTGATTTACTGAATTTTAATCTTAATTCGGATTAATGATTACTTCATTATGTTACTGCTAAACAAAGTCTTCAATTTTATTTTTAATTAATTCTTAATAAGGAATATTTTTTACACAATGATAATTTCTGACTTCAATATTATTACGTCTCTTCAAAACTGTTACTACAGCTAAAAAAATTAAAAGACAACTTAAATATTATTATAATTAGTCTATATTAACGTTTGTTGTAATCTGTTTCATGAGGTAGATGACGAGGTTCATCATAAATGGTTGGTCATTTGTTTGATCAAAAATCTTCTCCAGAACCTATTTCAGGATCACCACTGCCTTCAATCTGCTCGCTGTCTTCAGTGCTTGATGAATTGTTTTTACAACCTGCTGCTTCGGGCCAATCACAAACCTATTTTGTCAAATAATTTGTTAGTACATTATCACAAGTTTATAGTACTACTCTATTAGATTCAATAATACATTTCTCAGCGTTCTTCTTGAACATAGGCGTATCATCACTTAAATTTAGGCACGATTCTTTAGGAGTAACAAAATTAGAGTTCTACGATTTATAAATTACAATCGTCACTGAATCATTTATTAGTTCTTTCAAGATATCCAACAACTCCAACTCTATAAAACTTATAATAATTTTTAGTCTGACGTTTAGCTAAACATCAGGCCGAATATAAGTTATCGTGATTTTTTTCATTTTCACTTTGAACATAGGCATCAACATCATCACTGTTATTTATGTCAGATTTACTATAAGATATCAGAAGGCAGAATTCTGTCTGTCATCTATTATGTAGACTATCATCACCCACATATGATTTTTTAAATGTTACTGAAAGAATTTGATACTCAAGTAACATACTGTACTATATTAATTATTTTCGATCAGGCTACTACAACTAACTCATTAATAATATATAAATTAGATATATAACCACAGACCTGCAATACGGGATTAAAATGTGTTCCAGGGCCGCATTCTCTTAACACTTTTTCCCCAAATACACAGTAATAGAATTTGTTGCAATCTGTTTCATGTGGCAACAGAAGATGTTGATCAAAATCGTGTGGACATTCGTTTGATATATCTTCTCCTGAATCTATCACAGGATCACCACTACCTTCAATCTCCTCGTTCTCTTCAGAACTCAATGTATTGTTTTGACAACCTGCGGCTTCAGGCCAATCGCAGATCTATATTATCATTGACAAAAGGGATTTTGTCAAATAAAATGAGATAAATATTAATGTGCGAGTTTTTTACTATTTCTTTGAACAAAGACTTACATCTTTATAAATTTTGCAGATTTTGTTAATAGTTATTAAAATCAGAAGTCTGTAAGTTAGAGCAGATCAGGCTATAATCATCACTTTGAGAGTATATGTACTCTTTTTTCGTAATATCTTTCAACATAGGCTTATCATCAGTTATAATACTGAAACACAGTGAACACTTGCTCAGTACTTGAGTCCTATATCAGTATTAAAATAATAATTTATAAGATCAAGTTTTGGAATAGATTCTATTGTTATTTAGTTAAATATACCTAACTCATCAATGGAATAAAAATTATGTAAATATATATGGCCACAGACCTGTAATGTTGGATTGAAATGCGTTCCATAACCGCATTCCCTTAACACTTTTTCCCCAAAAACACAATAATAGAATTTGTTGCAATCTGTTTCATGTGGTAACAGAAGATGTTCGTCAAAATCGTTTGGACATTTGTTTGACAGATCTTCTCCTGAACTTATATCAGGATTACCACTACCTTCAATCTCTTCAGAGTTCAATGTACTGTTTTGACAACCTGCGGCTTCAGGCCAATCGCAGACCTATATCACCATTGACAAAAGAGATTTGTCAAATAAAATTACCTAGATAAGATAATGTACGAGGTTTCTTTACTAAATTCCTGGAACATAGGCCTACCATCTGTGTGATTTAGGCATAATTTTTAAGAACTGTCAATGTTTAAATCTACAATTTATTGGCTACAATGACCACTTTTACAGTATTTGTATTCTTTTATCAAGATTTCTTTCAACATAGGCTTATCATCACTTTGATTTATATGAAATTTTGTTACGAATTCTAAAAATCTGTAATTTTAGGATCTATCCTCATGTTATATATAGATGTATATATATATATTATATCATAAATATCGCTTAATACTAAAGCGAATATTTCCTCGTAAGAACTTTAAGTAAAGTCTACGAGTATGTAATAAATTCTTGTAATTCTAATATTGTACTTATCTATAGAATAAACTTAATGTTATCTTCTAATGTTCAAGATAATATTTTAATACATGTTTATCACCCGTTCTATTTATATAGAGTGTTACTACTAATTTATCAAAAGTTGAAATTCCGTAGCATATACGTTTATAATCGATACCTATATTAGATGCTGAAGGTACAAATAATAAGCTAATATCATCACTATTATCATCGTTGTTGACAACGGTTTTGAATTATTATATACTCTGATATTTTTCTTAAAATCATTATTAGGGTAAAATTTTGGAATAGATTCTACATCTCTATTAATAGGAACTTCTATAGCTACTCTAATAGATTTAAAGACTTACTCACTTATCTATTTCGATGGTAATCTAAAAATTAGATACATGTTCTTTACAACAAACACAGACCTGTAATGTAGGATTGAAATGTGTTCCGGGACCACATTCTCTCAATACTTTTTCACCAAATACGCAATAATAGAATTTATTGCAATCTGTTTCATGTGGTAGCAGAAGATGTTCATCAAAATCGTATGGACACTCGTTTACATCTTCTCCAGAACCTATCTCAGGATCACCACTACCTTCAATCTCATCATTTTCTTCAGAGCTCAATGTACTGTTTTGACAACCTGCGGCTTCAGGCCAATCGCAGACCTATATTATCATCGACAAAATAAATTGTGTCAAATAATTCGATAAAATATTACCATCTATTATTAAATAGTTTTTCTCCGCATTTATAATGAACATAGGCTTACCATCAGCTCGGTTTAGGTTCAACTTAATACCAAACGTATTTGTTTATGGGCTAGATTATCCAAATTAGAAGTCTACCATTTTAGGCTATAATTACTAGCTTAGCTTTATTTGTACTTGTCTTTTAAGATTTTTTGAACACAGGCATATCATCACTTTATTTTTTTAATTTATTTCCAAATATAAATATTACAATATCTTCTTTGATGGTTCACATTGTAATTTTTGAAATATATTCTAAATGCTATATTATGTTGCTTTTAGAATTCTATTTTACAAAATGGAGATAATGAAATAATTGAAATTTGTCTAAACATTCACAAGGTATCAACTTTTCAATTTGTAACTACAAATTTAATGTACAACATTTCTTTTTTTAATTTAACCATTTTGTTATGAACTCTAATTTACGATTAAAATATTACGTACAAGTTTATTATTATAACTACAGACCTGCAGTATTGGATTGAAATGTGTTCCGGGACCACATTCTCTTAATACTTTCTCACCAAATACACAATAATAGAATTTGTCGCAATCTGTTTCATGTGGTAACAGAAGATGTTCATCATAATTATCTGGACACTCATTTGTTACATCTTCTCCAGAATCTATATCAGGATCACCACTACCTTCAATATCCTCTTCAGAACTTGCATTACTTTTACAACCAGCGGCTTCAGGCCAATCACATACCTATATTATCGTCGACAAAAAAGGTTTTGTCAAATAATTCGATGCACTCATTAAGCAGTTATCATCGCAATCTCTTTGAACATAGGCTTATCATCATTATGTTTACTTATTTAATTTTTTCATATGTATAATCCATAGCATAGCATTTAAAATAGGCACAACCCTTTAAGAATCATCAAAATCAGAAGACTTCAATACATAAACTATTATCATCACTTTAAGATCAGTTGATTCGGGAACCGGTAATTGTTAACTTACATCTAAGATCTTTTTTGAAACAACATTTATATTTTGTAAATTATGAATGCAAATAACTACTATATTAAATTATATATCTGTAATTTAATATTAATATAGAAATGTCTTTGCACAATATTAAATAGATCTACAGAGAATTAATGAGTAGTAATTTCAAGAATAAATAATTTTTAAGTTTTTACTGTTTAACATTTCTTTTAAAGTAGTATTATAAGTTTAATTTGCTTTGATTAGAAACGGTAAGTATAATAATAAAAAAATTGCTACAGCTTATAGGCTATAATCATAACATTAAAACCTTAAAAATGAAGCATGAAGAAATGATTGGACCCTGATTAAAGCACTTAAAATATCACACAGAATAAGTTTAACTGTTGGCGACCGACCGCCGAACTCTTTTGATATTGTTAAATATAGTTTTGAAGAGTTCTTTTTTATATATCATGTTATTTGATATACTTAACTTTATTGTATTATTCTCTAATTGTCTTTTGGTTCGCAACTGTATTTAAATATATTTCACTATCATATTCTATACGTGTTTTCATCATTTATACATCCATACAGTCCACAGATCCATCCACATTAACATTTCATTAAGTTCTTTTAAATTTTCAGTATATATCATAAGCTCATTAGTATTAATAAAAAGTTTGAATTCTGTAGTTTATACACATTAATAATTGCCTACTTATAATTAGTAGTTTATAACTTAAATGATGTTAAGATACATTATGTGGGTAATAAATTTTTAGTCACTAACGGAGATAGCTTTGTTGCAAACTGCAATTATTTATTTCCACGTAATTCTGAATTATAATCACCTTTAGAGGTTCAATCGCAATTATTTTTAACACAGGCTTATCATCACTGATTTATTTGATATTTTGAAACGATTTGTTAATAATAAAGTCATTCATAGGTTTAAATAATCATCATTTCGCCACTGACAGGGAAGTTCAACACCACACGCTGAAATCTAAGTGGTCTCGGATGGTGCGGTCTCAGAGGAGCATCCTCCCGCGTATTCTTAGATCGTAGAATGAACTACCTGCCGAGGTTTTTTCGAGAGATTATGGGGTTTTTCAAGAAGGGTATATTAAGGTTTCTTAAGAGTCGGTCGCGCACGTGATACCGCTGATACTACAGGCGTTCATAGGCTGCGGTAACCGATTACAATCATCATATAGTCCGTTAGCTTGTTTACCATTTACGTAGATGGTAAAAAAATCTTTAAGCATTACTAACAAAACATACGTGTTTATCTTAATTTAACTTGTTCAGATTTTTTTTTTCATATATATTTATTAGTATACTCAGGTTCTTATCATTACTTTAAAACTTACTATAATTAAAATGGACTATACAATATCACTTTGGTTGCAAACTACTAGCTGTATTCGCGACTACGTCCCCGTGGAAATTAACATTATTTTTCTGAAATTTTTCTTAATAAAAGTAGCCTAAGTTACTCCTTATTACATTAGCTACCTGCCAATAAAAGTCCCGTCAAAATCGGTCCAGCGATTTCAGAGATTAGCCGGAAAAAACCGACCGACAGACAGACAAAAATTGTAAAAAGTGACTTTTTGGTGTTTGTACCGTATTTATATTCATATGCATGTAGTAAAAATCGGTTATTTCAATATTACAAACAGACACTCCAATTTTATTCATATGTATAGATAAATCATCAGAAAAGAGAATCCTGTAATTGATAACTTTTAACCATTAAATTTATATTAAATCTCTTTATTATTAATAAACATTAACAATAGAATAGAAAATCATTCATTCAAATAAACATACATAGAAGCACTTTTGAATAGTCATCACATTTGTTTTTTAATCTACCGCTCATTCGGAAAGCTGTCTCATCACAAGAATTCAGAATTGCATTCACATAGTATTTATTGAAAACAATTTTAAATTCGTTCACCAAAAAATAACATTCATTCACAATGATATATATGATTCTAGATATATTTAAAATAAGTAAATGATTGATGATGATCGTGATGATGATATAAATTATTGATATCATCATGTATCGGTGATGTTATCATCGCAAAGTGCTACTGTATTTAAAATATTGCTTAATATTTATTAATATAAATATGATTGATTTCACTTATTTTTAAACTTTTGTTTAGTACACATCTATACATATAAATAAAATTGTAGTGTCTGTTTGTAATCCATTTATGGTATGGGTTCCAGGGAGTCATTGCGAGAGTGTTTTAAGGAATCAAATATCACCGTTGCTTCTCAATACATTTATGAAAATATCATCTATGCCAGAAGGAATATAGACAGTTTCAAAAGAGTTAGTGATTGCACTAATAAAACAAAGCTTACGTAACAATAACAAACTGATTTTACCTAAATGTCGTTTGGCTAAAGTTAGTAATTCGTTTTATGGCAATTGCGTAAGGTTTTACAATAAAATACCAGAGTCTGTTATAAATCTGACAGAAAAAAGATTTAAATGTCAAATAAAACAGTTCCTTTGCAAAAAAGCTTACTATAAAATTGAAGAATTCGTTAACGATAATAATGTTTTTATACTGTAAATATTTATATATTAAAAAGAGCAACACACAAGTTTCTTGCTCATTCTTCTTGTGATGAATCTGCATTCCGAATGAGTAGAATCAAAATATGACTATTCAAAAGTGCTTGTAATGAGTTTATTTGAATAAAGATTATTTCTATTTCTATTTCTGTAATATCGAAACAACCGTTTTTTACTACATGCGTATGAATATAAATACGGTATATATACCAAAATATTCAAACACGCGGGCCATAGCCAAGCATGGATGAGTTATGTGATGAAGATAGAAATTTTCTGACTATTCGGCATGTGTTTAGTATGACGGCTTTTTGTAATAGGTCTATTGTAGAGGAGGGGATATGTAACGTGTCTAGGTGTTTGTTCAGATATTATTATTATTTATTTATTTTTCTCAGCTTTTGCTGGTTTTCTCCATATGTAACGTGTGTGTATATGTGTGTGCGCATGTATGTATGCGTGAGTGTGTGTGTACTTATTGTGTGGCTGGTGTGACTGGTGTTATATCATTTTCATAGATTTCGAGAAATTTGTACGACAGGTATTTAAGATGGCAGCCTTTTGAAGGGTGATGATTATTATTATTATTATTATTATTAAATATGAAAAATTCGCATAGTTCTATAGCTTATAATAAATTAATTCTAGTTTAAAATAATTACTTACTTGCAATACTGGGTTGAAATGAGTGCCACCTGGACAATCCCTCTCTACCAGTTCACCGAAGACGCAATAGTAGAATTTGCTGCAATCGTTCTCATGTGGTAGGAGTTGATGGATATTGAAGTCTGATGGGCATCCGTTAGGCAGAGTAACGTCTTCACATGGTTCGGTAGTTGTTGTTGTGGGTGTTGTCGTGGTTGGTGTTGTTGTTGTCGGTGTTGTGGTGGTTGGAGTTGTTGTTGTGGGGGTTGTGGTAGTGGGCGTTGTAGTTGTTGGAGTAGTTGTAGTGGGCGTTGTAGTTGTGGGTGTCGTGGTTGTGGGCGTTGTGGTAATCGGCGTTGTAGTTGTGGGTGTCGTGGTTGTGGGCGTTGTAGTTGTAGGTGTTGTAGTTGTTGGAGTAGTTGTAGTGGGCGTTGTGGTTGTAGGGGTAGTAGTCGTCGGTGTCGTGGTTGTCGGAGTTGTTGTTGTAGGTGTTGTAGTTGTGGGCGTTGTAGTTGTTGGAGTAGTTGTAGTGGGCGTTGTGGTTGTTGGCGTTGTTGTGGTTGGTGTGGTGGTTGTGGGCGTCGTAGTTGTAGGTGTTGTTGTTGTGGGAGTTGTTGTTGTGGGTGTTGTAGTTGTGGGCGTTGTGGTAGTGGGCGTAGTTGTTGTTGGTGTAGTAGTTGTTGATGGCGTTGTCGTTGGAGGTGCAGTCGGTGATCCCGGTAAAGTGCAGTTAGCTAATATCGGATGTATGCACACCTACGGAGAAAAGAGAAAAGTATGTATTATTTGATAATAAAATATATGTGATTTCCTTGTGGAAATCAATACAGAAATAATTCAAGATTCGAATTGTATTAATACGTTTTTTTTTTTAATATTTACTAACAAATCAATTTTCCGTATTGAAACTATATATTTTACACATTTTTTTAATGTAGGTGTTTGTAATAGTCGGGGCAAAGTTCATATGACAAAAAAATTAAATGTTTAAAGAGAATATATTTCAGAATTTATAAAAAAAACCTAGAAGAATTGACACAGCTTTATCTAGTCCAGAAATAACAGATTGTATGTAGGTACTATGTGTACAAGCAACTGATAGATTTTAGAAGTCATATTTTTATAAATAACTACATAATATATATAGAAAACACCCAGATAAATACAAACAAACTCATCATCATCATCTGCTTCTTCCTTATCCCATTTATTTGTGGTCGTCGTAATATGTTTTTCTCTTCCATTCATCCCTGTTCGCAGTCATCGCGTTATTTACTCCCTTTCTTACCATATCATCTTTCACACAGTCCATCTCTTTTTCGCCCTTATAACTATCCACAGTTATATATAAAACATATAAATGATTTTATAGTGCAAGATTCAAACCTGCGACTACCAAAAACATGTTAAAATCAAGACTGAACTCGTCAAGTAAAATTATGTTTTTATTGCAATGTAGGCACGGAGTGACACGTTATCTGTACTTGCATTTGGAATCTAATAAGATAATATATATTATATTTAAAATGTAATAATCTGTCTGTATGTAGATCCGCTAGATCAGATAACGATGCGGCATGCTATTTTAAATGTATGATATGTGATAACCATAAATTTTCCTTGCAATTTCCACGTAAATGCACATTAAAAGTGACGTAAAATGTAATTAATATATTATAATAATATATAACATAATCTATACAATCTTTTTTAAATTCACCGCAGTGCTACCTGAATTTAGATAAAAATAGAAATCTTTATTGTACACTAACTGTACCCGTGACTTCGTCCGCGTGGAATTTACCTTTATTTTTCTAAAATAAAAGTAAAGTAAACTAAGTTTGAAGCAGGTACAAGCAGGTAGTTCGAAATAACTAACTTACTCCTTATTACATTAGCTACCTACCAAAAAAAGTCCCGTCAAAATCAGTCCATTACAGAGATTAGCCGGAACAAAAAGACTGACAGATAAAAATTGTAAAAAATGTTATTTTGGTGTATGTACCGTATTTATATTCATATGCATGTAGTAAAAAACACCAATTTTATTTATATGTATAGGTTTATTTAAATTCAATGCACAAAAATAATGTGTACAAATTTTATTATCCGGAATTAACACGTTGCGACGTTACCAGGCAACCATGAATGGTGCAGAGAATGATTGTTGGCGGTGCACTAATATAAATGAGAAATATAAAAAACATATACAGAAACACGACCTCTGTGATCTAGCAGTCAAGCATACCACTTTTCTAGGGTTATTACATTATATGTACATAGGCGACTGTTGCCGTTTACCATCAAGTGGCCGTCAAGTTGTTAGTTTACAATTACATAAAAAAAACGGTATATTTGTTATCAAATTTGTT